ATGTGCGACTCATTTAAATCATGGGTTGAGACAAAACAAAAGAAAAGAAACAAATTTTCCAATATCAATGATCAGTACCATTGAATCAGATAGAACGTAAGAACTCTATTCACAATCTAAAACTAAAAAGGATGATCTATCATACTTCTATTGTGTATGAAATTTATGGTTTCCATTGGTGCAAATTCAATCACTTCAATTTGCAATTTAATATGAGAATGAATTCCCATTGGTAACAAATAGTTATCCATTAAGCGGGGGGAAATCCTATTTAAAAAGCGGAAAGATTATGTTTCTACCCTTGCAAGAACGGACTAACAGGGTCAGCTACCAAACAAAATTCATAATTAAATACCGTTAATGTATAAGGTATATCTCGTTAGGAAAGACTATTACTGGAAAATTCATGGGTAGAGCCAAGAGTGGTAACAATAAAAGTTACCAATAAATAGGATTGATTAATGAGGGAAAGGGCTCCGGTGTATAGAAAGAACCTCACTGTTTAAAGTAACCATAGAGACGATGGAACCACAATTTCTTTATCTATTCTATTTACTACTTTATTTTATTTCCAATGCGCCTAGAAAAAGGAAAAAGTGTGGTCGGAAGGTTATAGCAGCAAAAGCCATTGGAATTTTATCTATAAATTGGAAAAATTCGTTTGGTATTAATAGACTAGGAAAGGGGAAATGAATAACTGAAAGAAAGGAATCAATTATATTCATCAAAGTTTCATTTATTCAATGACTAGGATTAGACGAGGATATATAGCTCAGAGACGTAGAACAAAACTTCGTTTATTGCCTCAAACTTTCGGGGGCTCATTCAAGATTACTCGAACAATTACGCAACAGAAAATAAGAGCTTTGGCTTCGGCTCATCATGATAGAGATAGGAAAAAAAAGAGATTTGTCGTTGTGGATCACTCGAATAAATGCAGTAATTCAATTCGGCGAAATCGAGTATCTATATTTATAGTAGATTAATAAACAATCTGTATAAGGGGCAGTGCTTCTTAATCGTAAAATACTTGCACAAATGCTATATCAAATAGTATTGTCTTTATATGATTTCCAATGAGATCATAAAATAAGGAGGTTGGAAGGAATCTTCCAGAATCTTTTAAACGGAGTTCTCTGGAGAATGAACTCCGGGAAGGTAGATAGAAAATACTACGATAAAATCGGGATAATATGATAAAATCGTCAAAATGAGCGAACACATTCAATAAAAAAAGATTTATTCTTATTCCCCCATTTTTTTTTCTTACAACACAACGGATTCCAGGATTTGTTGACCAAAACATCAGGTGTTTGAGTTCTGATTGGAATTTTGATTCCAATCACCAAAGAAACACAAACACGCAATCTAGATTAGGTCAAATTCGGTTAAGTTAAAAATTAACCTGCGCTGCAAGAGGTAGGAGGATCCTTCTGCAAATCCTTGAGTTCCTTCAAGATGCGCTTGAAGCCATGATGCTTCAACAAAGCTAGAACCTAAAACCTGCAAAGATGTTCACAAAATGCACGATACTGCTGAATAAAAAAAAAATCGAATGCTTCGCAAATAAAATAACGGCATAATTTTAAAAATTAGATGATGATTAAAAATCAACCTTGTGTTTTTCGCGATGGAGGAGGCGATCGACGGGAATAGCGGTGAGAAATGGTAACGGCTTCGAGGTAGATCCAAATCGATTCGAAACGGCCGCCCCGCCTCTTCCTCTACAACCCTTTCTTTCTTCTTCAAGAACAAGGCAATAAGTCACAGAGAGAGAGAAATTAGTTTTGTATTTTGGAGCCCTTTATACATATGTGCCTGCCCAGATTGTTTTTTTAAATTGTCGTTCTTATCCATTTCATTTTTTTTTTATTATTATTTTTAAGTTTCGTGCTTTGAATTAAAAAATTACTAGGGTTTTGACTATCTTAACCCATTAATTATTGTTGGATTTATATGTTAATTACTGCAAAATAATTGAAGTTCTATAAAACAGAAATATGTATAAAAAATTATATTTTTGAATTATAAATTAGTCAAAAAAAAGGGTCCGATTTTACATTGATAATTCGATCAAATCTTTTAGGGCTTTGAATTAACGACTGGGTAAACTCTCTAGTAGTCACTCCTATTAAACATTAACACACTGTTTTAAAACCCTACCCAACTTGATCAGTTTAACCAGGACCTAGGAGCTTCAGTGGGTCGGGTTAACATTTTCCTTATTCACCAAAAACCCTAGAATTTGGGATGATGATCAGCGAACAATTGAAGGTCAGGATACTCAGGCTTTTGAAGAGAAAGTGTCGATGAGTACAATGGTGGCGATATAATTGATTTCTGGTGGGTGAATCGATCGGAAATCGAAAAAAACTGGTGGCGGCAACAGTCGGCAATTGGCGAGGCTAATGGGGGTAGGGTGAGGTGGGTTTTGGTAGAGAGGAAGAGGGGAGTATTTTGGGGTAATGGGGAGCATTGTCGATGCCGATGTCGGTGAGATCTTGCCTGGAATGTTGACGCCAGCATTGGTGAGATTGTTCGATTTCAGCTAGATCTTGAATGGATTTTGTGGGAAATGTGATCAATGGACGATTGTGATTGCATTTGAGGTGTCATGCCGCTGCTAACCAATCGTCAGCCGATTTGTATTTGGGGTATATTTATTAAATTTCAAACCTATATAGACTTAACTGTAATTTTCAATGGTATATTTGCTGAATTTTAAAAGTTTTGTCACCTGATTTGACCGGCTAATCAAACCAAACTTTGCTAGGTTTCACCCGGGTTGGTTATTAAAACATTGCATTAACAAATGTTAATAAGTTAAAACTTTTTTTCCTCAAAGGGACTGTTTGGATCAGAGGTAAATATGATAACGGGGATAATCTTCGTTTATTTTGCAAAATTCCTGTGTTTGGTTTGCAAGTAATAAAATATTACGGTAATCTTTTATTATAAATAGTGTTTACTGTTGGTAATGTGGGGGGTAATCTTATTACCTTGCTAAGAGGTGTTATTAAAACATTACCGAGGTAATCTGATTTTTCTACCTATTTTGCCCTTAATTAAAAATCATTTCGGACACAATTGCCCTCAAATGTCTAACAATAACAATTACCCAACCCCCTTACATTTGAGAAATTAGCTAAAACACCCTAGGCACAATTTTTTTTAAAAGTTAACAAAATACCCTCAGCCACCCAAGACCACTATCGGCCATCGGCGTTAGTCATCGTAATGGTGCACAACCAGCGGGATCTAGCCAATCGTGTGCTAATAAGTCATTTTTCGGCCAAGCCTGATGGTACTTATCTCTCTTGTCACAAGTACTTAGCCTGCAGGTCTTGTGTTTGAGAGATGGGGAAGGCGAAAGAAACCCACTTGCAGGGGTGGGGATATCCGGATGAGTGAGGCCCAAGATGAGGGGGCGCATGTGGAAAGCCCATGAGGCCGTAGTAGGCCAAGACTGGGATAACCCATGGTCCAAGATAAGGGGGCTCTCACAATAAAAAGGCGAAAACAACTAAATCTGGTGTTTCTATGACTATGAAATGGCCATAAATCTGGTTGTTTTCCGGCCATGGAATTTTTGTGATCCATGACCCTTTTCGACTTTGCTGACGCACGGTCGACCATATACGGCTAGGCGTGCACCATTCCATTAACTGTCAGCGGTGGTGGTTGGCTGCCGATAATGGCTTGGGGTTGGTGGTTGTGATTTTGCTATAAATTAAAGTTTTATTTGATTTGGGTGTTTTAGCAAAATTTCAAATATAAGGGGTTAAAAAAATGATCAAAAAAAAAAAAAAACTATTATATTAATATTTAAAAATGACAATTTAGTAATTTATATAACATACTCACCTATTTATCCTCCCAACCAAACATATTATTCACCAATTTATTTGAATTAACCAAACATATTTTCTAAACATTCTCAATAATCTTTAAGGTGATATTTCTTTCCGTTAATATAATATACCCTTATAATAAAACATATAGGGTGCGTTTGGTTTAGTATTTTGGATAGGATTTTAGGGATAGTATTGGGTTATTGGATATGGGAGTATTACGAGGTAAATTTTAAAAATTTGTAAAAAAGCCCTTAGGTTTACTAATTTAACTAAAGACCCTAACATATAAAATGACAAAAACACCCCCACCACCTGCAGTATCAGATTCCGGCCACCACCGCCGGAATCTGGCCGGAAAATTTTGTTACGGCACAGACTTGTCGGATCTGTGCCGTAACACGTCGTTATGGCCTTTTCCGACCAGATCCATGGTGGATCTGGCCGGAAAAGGCCAGATCTATGGCCTGTTATGGCTGTCGACGGTCGAAAAAGGCCAAACAAGGGCCATCTTTGGCCGTCAGCGACAGCCAAAGATGTGGCCGTCGTTTTCGGTCAACGACGGCCATTTCTTTGGCCGTCGCTGACGGCCAGATTCGTGGTGGATCTGGCCGGAAAAGGCCACAGCGGTGAACTTCCGACCATTTCTGGTCGGAAGTTAGGCCGTTGTACAGATTCCGGCTATCACCGATGGTGGTTGCCGGAATCTGACAAGTTGGGTTGATGGGGGTATTTTTGTTAATTTTTAAACTTTTTTTTCAGGGAGTATTTAGTGAAATTAATAATCTTATGGGGTTAAAATGTAATTAAAAAAATAGGATAATATTTTTAGAATATTGTACCAAATGCTATTTGGAGAATATGATCCAGAATAGGGATAAAAATATTAAACCAAACATGCACTATATGATTCAAATGTTCCAAAAATGGTAACAACTAACACGTGATGTCCATGTGCCTGGGCGTCTGAGCCGATCAAGGCTTGCAAAGTGGCTTCTCACGAGACGAAGGATCACGCCTTCATCGAGCCAAAAACACGAACCATCACACTCAAACATAACATTCCATTTTTTTTTTTCTTATATAAATACCATTTATTCACAAAGGTTAATTAACGCACGAAACGATCACTAAGGACAAATTTTCAAAGCGTAATCTCACTGAATCACCTTCTACTGATTCATAATCTGATTTCTAATCCATTAATCCACACTCATCTCAATCTTAATTAGTGTCATGCATTTTTGACGAATTTCTAGGGTTAGGGTTTCATTTTTGCTGATTTAGATCAAGTTATATGTTCATGTTTGAAATAGTTTGATTAAACGAGTAGTTTTTGGATTTTCAGATCGGAATTTTGATTTGAGCAGAACAAAATGGAGGATGAGAAGAAGAAGAAGAGAAACAAGAAGAAGAAGAACAAACAGACGAAACAGGCGGAGGACATTGCGCGTGGTGCTGATGAGAATCACGTGAGCAATGAGGATAATAATCATAGCGAAGTTTTGGAGATGGCCGAGCTTCAAAATGGTGGTGTGGATCTGAGTAGACACCATCACCATTCCAATGGTACTGAAGGCGTAAGTTTGGCTTTAATCAATTTGGAGTTACACCAATTATTTTTATTATGTTGTATGGATTTATGAATTAGGGTTGATGAATGGGCCTACATGATATGTTTTGTGTAATCTGCTTTGCGTGGTGTGTTCAGGTTGTAATGTAAGTACTGATTAATATTAAAGGAGAATGAAATAGTTTATACGGTTCATTTCTTTTGTAAGAACTCTATAAGGATTTTTAGAGATTCCTATGTGTTCTGCTACCTTTTTTTTTGGGTGTTCTGCTAAATTGGACACTACTTGTTTGAAAAATTTGTTATACAGGCCATTTTAGCGGAAGCTGAGAAACAACAGCTGCTGCAAAGAAAGGTGAGAGGAGATTTGTGAACTCTTAGCTGCTTCTTCTTCTACCTCTTTTTTTTTTTGTTTCCCACTTATTTTGTGAAGCTCATAAGTGAATATTGATGTTTTTACAGGTCATGTTAGAAGAGATAGTCAAACAACTGCAAAATGAAAAAGACTCTTATTTACAGAAAGAGGTAATTTAAACTGAACCCAAATGCTGAAATAGGCAAGAAGTTATTCTATTTGTGGTAGTAGGTAGCCTTTCATTTAGCAATTTATTTTTAATGACGTGATTTTTGAAGTTGAGTCTGCAGGTGAGTGTGTGGGCAGATACTTTTTTCTCATTGTTTTTAAATTCACTTGTCTTTGATTTGATTTTTATTTTTATTGTGAAGCACATGGTCACTTACTGTGTTTTGACAGGCTACCTTACAAGAGACAGTCAAACAATTACGCAAAGAAAGTGATTCATACATGGAAAAAGTGGTAATATAAGTTTATTGTAGTTGTGGAACTTACTTAGAAAGTTACTTCATTTCCCGCTCTTGTCTATATACTATGTTTTGTTCTAATATTCATTGTGAAGCACTGAGTTACTCATTGTTCTTTTACAGACTACCTTAGAAGAAAAGATAAAACAGTTACAAAGGGAAAATGACCTACACATTCATAAAGAGGTAAAAAATTGTTTTTACTTTGATTGGGGAGAGATATTCTACTGTTCCATCAACTTTCCCCTTTTGTTTTGATGAATCAATAATTGTTCACTTTGTTCTTACAGGATGCATTAGAACAGACAATCAAACAATTACGAAATGAAAAGAATTTACACATGCAAAAAGAGGTAATGTAAAGTTGAATCTAATTATCAGAAACGAAAGGAAACGCTTTAAGAACCTTTAATTAGTTCATTATTTGTTCTGCATTCTGCCTTATGTGTGGTTTTCATTTTTCTTATATCTATCTTATCAGACTGGCCTATCTAACTAGATGCTTTACAGGGTAGTCTAGAGATGAGTATTGTAAACTTACAGAGTGAAAAAAGTATCTGGCTTCAAAAAGAGGTAATCTGTGCTGGCTGTTGTGTTGCATTGTAGATTGTAATTTCTTTTAACAAACTTTAAATAGTTATTGTTTAAGAACATCTGGGTGTAAAGATAATATTAGCATTTATGTTTGTACAATATTTGAGATTTTGATTGTCATTGTCGACTTTGAATTGGTAAACTGCTAACGGTCATACATGCAGGCTGACTTTGAGGGGAAAATCAGACAGTTAGCGGATGAAAATGCTGCCCTGAATTTCAAGGGGGTAAAGTTTCTTACTTAGACTTTAAAGAAGACCCATAGAAAAGAGCTTACTTTGCTTCCCTTAATGAGGATTGAGGATTGCTTTTTTTCTTTTTTGGTGTCTGCTTTTCTATGCATGTATACTATGTTCCTCAAAATTTTCGTTTCCTGCATGAAAATAGATTGTAAAATATTTTCACAGGCAAGCTTGGAGGAAAAAATAGAACTTCTGCAGAGAGACAAAGATTCTTGGATCCAAATGAAGGTAGTGACTTTTCTGTTGTTTTGTTGTGTTATTTTTCCCCAATTTTTTTCTTTTCTGCAAATTGTTTGCCAATTGATGGGCTCAGATAAAGATGTTATTCACATCATCATAATGTTGATAAATTCTAATCGGTATAACAGTTTTATAAGCAATTTTAAATCAACCAATCACCCTATCTTAATGTGATCATTTTGTTGTTTGAATGGAAATGTGTTCAGCTAGGAGACTGTTATGAACTCTTTTGCATTTATGCAACTTCTGATATATGTGAAAGCAGGAATAAGGGAGTCCTTAGCATTACATGGATCTCTATAGGGCAAATTGGTTGATAGTCTAAGTTAAGTTGAGTTGAATTGTTGAGGGTAGGGGTTTGTTTTATTGGTGTCTGCTTTGTTGATGCACTTTTGGATCGTTATTATTTGCAGTTACAAGAACTCAAATGTAAATGTATCTGTGCATCTAATTTTGAATAGTGTTTCTGCAGAACATATCCAAAGATACAATTACTAGCCTGAATGATGATATCACACAACTAAAGATGCAGGTACATAGGATATTCATGTTTAATTTTGTCCTTTGGTTTTCTTATGTTAAGAGCATGGTAAATTGCATGATGATCGCCTGGATAAGATGATTCTGCTGCATAATTCTCTATTTGTTCTGATATGGAGATTAAAACAAAGCCTGGCAGGTGGTGGTGTTGGAAGAATCTAGGAATTCTCTCATAAAAGAAAACCAACAACTGAATGAAAATGTGTCTAGTCTGCAGTTACAGCTTCAAAACCTTGAGAATAGTGTTTCCTCTGCTCGCTCATCCGATGAAATTAAGAAGGTTTGTTATATGAACATCCAGAAATAAATAGATGTTTGCTAGACTTTAGGCACAGTTAGGAATTTTGGATATCTTGTGGTTTAGGGATTGCGGTTGAATTGTTTAGATTATAATTTGTCTTATGTTTTTGGTGGCAAAATCTATTCTTCGTATGATCTTTTTTTAGCAATTAAAGAGAGTGTTCTGAAATTATTGGAGAAATTGATAATGGCTTTCTGTAATTTAGCAGACTTCTGAAGAGGACTTCAACACTCAGATTGAAGCCGCATGTCGATTGGTTGATAAATTGATCTCAGAAAATGTAGAGCTTGTTGAGAAGGTATTTAAAAGGCTTTCTCCTAGATTGTTATTTTGCTGGTTTATATGTCTTCTGAATTGACTTGGAGTGTCTGGAAATTATTTTGTAGTGTTTTATGCAGGCAAATAGTTAATACTGTCAGATTATATCATGAATATTCGTATGGATTTGATAAACCGATATGTAGTTATTGGCTTCTTGTTTTCCTCTGATGTGTTTCAGCTGGGATTATAATTTAATCTGATATTTTTTTTTTTTTTTGTTTTAAAGGCGTCCACTTGTTTTCTCGTGCAATGATTTCTGGGATCTTGTTTAAACTGATCTTTTCCCCGCTATTATTTTATTCGCTGATCATGTTATTTCTTAGGTGAATGATTTGTCTGTTAAACTTGATCGACAAACTCAACAAGCTGGGCTATCTTCTGGCATTGGAAGTGATCCATCGGCTAAAACCATCATTAATGCTGAACCCATTTCTGAATCCAGTGTAAATATGCCGATGTTGAGCCATAACCTGGAGTCTCCGGAAATAGTAGAAGTTAAAGATGGGAGAAACACAGTTAATAATGTGCATGCAGAGCCACTTGCTTTTGTTCCAAACCCTTCAGAAGCCGATGATTCTGGAGAAATAGTCCAAATTCCATTGGATGATAATGAAGTCCAGGATCTGGAGTCTCAGGCTGGTGAGATGGATGAAAAAACTGCTGTGCCGCTGTCAGACGCTCCTCTTGTCGGAGCTCCTTTCCGATTAATTTCATTCGTTGCTAAATATGTTAGTGGTGCTGACCTGGTCGAAAACTCTTCAAACGTGGGGTCTTAACCTAGTTTTATTATAATCCTTCATTTTTGTATACAAGGGTAATATACATTTAGATTTAGAAATTAAAGTGGGCCTAGATTGGGCCATTTACATTGTTTTATACTGGAAGAATGTAAGCTATTGAGAGCTACTCTGATACGACGTTAAATACAATTCATACCAAGTGGGACATTTTTTTTGGTTCAAGTTAATATTTGTATGTGCTAGAGTTTGACATTGTTTGCATTTTGGTTGTAATCAAGGTTTTGAAACCTGAGCAGGGGTGTCACCCGGCCAAAAGGGTCCTGGGACCGGTTGGACTGGTTAAATTGGTGGTCTTCGGAGATCCAGAAAGTTTGAAATCTTGCAAATATCCCCTTTTAAATCAGTCCCTGCAGGTCTGACAACTAGCAAACAACCCTTGCGACGGTTAGGGCTTTGATTTTTCCGGCCAAAGTTCAATCCAATACCACCACTTGAACCATTGGTCTCCACTCTCTAAACTTGACACTTGGTAACCCCTCATTCCCTAGCTGTGATTTGCGCATTCTGTTGATTGGATTGATTTTTTTTGCCAAGTTACAGCATTGTTTTAAAACCCGGACCGGAGGGCAAACCGTTTTGCTGTCTGGGTCACGGTTCAATCGGTCCAACCGGTTGGACCGGTCGGTTGGACCGGTGACGTCAGCAATATTTTATTTTTAAAAAATTACATATTAACCCCTTAAATCTTAATATATTACAAAAATTCCCCTAAAAAAGTTCAAATTGGTCTTTAAAATTTTTATTTATTCCAAAAATACCCCAATAAAATTACCAATTAATCCTTAAACTTTTGATATATCTTCAAAATACCCTTATAAAATTACAAAGTAACCCTCATAATTTTAAAATATTTCAAAAACCCCCCTGAGACCTAAACCGGACCGGAGAAGCTACCGGTTCACGGTCCAACCGGTCCGACCGGCCGGTCCGGTCCGGTTTTTAAAACAGAGAGTTACAGCTGATTCCACACATCCAAAATTCACTTTGATACCACCCCTTAAACAATCAGCCTCTACACTACAAAAACCCACTAACCCCGACACTTGGCCTCTAGTTGTTAGAGATTTCGAGAATAATTAAATTTTGTAACTTGGCCTGGTGAAACCTGAGGCCCGATTGAACAGGCCGGGTTTTAAAACCTTGGTTGTGATTGCAGAATCTTTTACTGATTAGATGTTCATAAAATGTAAGCAAAGTTTGGAGCCATTTGTGCGAGAAGTTGTTGAGAACACTATTATTCTTCTACCAAGTACAGACATGGATATACATGTAATAAAGTGTGATTTATTTAGAAATAACTTAGCTACAATGATAGCAAAAGAGGAGGAAAAAATGATAGTTGGTGAAATTCTTTGACACTAAAATCCTAAAAGAATCACACAGTTTACCGTTGGAAAAGCAAGCAATTTAGGCAATAGATCTTCATTCTCGAAATGGAACAAGCAGAGCTATGAACTGAATAAGAACATCATTGTTGGATTGCTTAAGGGGTTTGTGTGTTTGAACCCTTGGACTTGTCCTCTGATGATGGCCGGTTCTCTAAATCAGATGGCTGAATTTCCTCAATCATCCTTATAACTTCGTCCATCTTAGGTCTCATGTCTGGCACCCTTGCTACACACGACATTGCTATCTGAAGCATCTGCACCATCTCTTCTTCGATATTCTGGTATCTCATTAGCTCTACATCAAACACCTCAGAGGTCCATTCTTCTCGAACAACAGACTGAACCCACCTCGGAAGGTCAACCACATCTTCGTGTCCTGATGCTTGGATTGGTGCTTTCCCAGTTAACATCTCCAGGAGAAGGACACCAAAACTGTAGACATCAGATTTTTGGGTACACTTTTTTGTTTCAATCACCTCGGGAGCACGGTAGCCTGCACTTCTCGTGGGGACTGTTGGGTAACTCATTAGAGGAGTTAAGCCAAAATCAGAGATGCATCCGGTAGAGTCTTGGGTGAGAAGGACATTAGATGACTTGATGTTCCCATGGATTAATTTCCCCCCAGCTGCAGAATGAATATGGGCAATGCCCCTTGCAGTTCCAAGCGAAATCTTTAATCTTGATTCCCAGTCTAGTGGAGTTCGTCCAGTTCCCCTGTTTCCTGTATTCATATCAGAAGTAGAGAATTAACACAAAGAAGAAAAATCATATACCATCATACATAGTTATACAGAGAAGCAAAGGCACTTTACGTACAGCCTTTCGAACCATTATTGCCATAATAAGACCTCAAAATGTCTTCATATAACTAATCTCAAGCTTGATAACTCCACTGGTATTCTAGGAAAGTAAAGTGCAGTCAGTGCAGCTTAATTTTTTTTATGTTATGTATTCAATCATTATACGAAAACATACTGAAACATAGCTTTATGTAAAAATTTGAATTGAAAGCAAGAGAACAAGATGATTGGATAGCTCATACCATGCAATAATGCGGAAAAGCTCCCACCGGCTATGAAGTCATAAACAAGGAGTTTCTCATCCTTAGAAAAGTAATAAGCACGGATAGGCACGACATTAGGGTGTTGACCTATCCTCCCTACAATTTCCATTTGTTGTTCAAATTCTCTTTTCGCCACAACCACTTCTTTCAGCCTCTTCACTACCACTGTAATTCCCTCCTCCAAGATGGCTTTATAAGTTGTCCCATAACTTCCCTTTCCTAGCACTTCAGCTGAAGCTCTTAGTAAGTCCTCCAGATCAAAATTATATGAAGAACCTTCAAAGAAAACCAGCTTGTTTTTCTCAGCCTCTTGAACCCCGCTCCCGAAGTCTTCCTTGGGCTTTTCACCCCTTCCAACCTTCCCTTTTGCGGCCGCAGCACCTTCAGTATCTTTTTTCTTGAAACAGCAAATTACCATCATGAGTATTAGAAGGAACAAAACAGCTAAACCCCCAATTACTATGGCAATTATAGCGCCAGTACTGAGTATCTTCTTAGGGCTCTTTCTTGGTTCTTTGGGACCTGTTGGCGGAGGTACAAAGTAAGCTGGGGATGGACTAGGTGAGGGGGAAATTGTGGAGCATTGGTTTAGAGGTGGTCCACATAACATGGAATTCCCTTCGAAGGAGGCTGAAGGGAACTTCTGAAGGGCAGGTGGAACTGAACCATTTAGGTGGTTGTAGCTCAAATTCAATTGTGTAAGCCTTGGAAGAGTTAGATTAGGGATGACTCCTGTAAGGGAATTATTTTGGAGGTCCAAACCTATGAGATGTGTTAAATTTTGAACTGTGGCTGGAATGTTGCCTGTGATGGAGTTGAAGGAGAGATCAATCCAGTTAAGCTGGGGGGAAAGGGTGGAAGGAATATTTCCTGAGAAGTTGTTTTTTTGAAGATATATGTAGCGAAGGGATGGAAGGGAGAGTACATCAGATGGAAGATCCCCACTGAGGCCGTTTGATCGGAGGCTGAGGATCATAAGTGAGTCCAGCTTTCCAAGTGTGTTCTCTGGAATTGGACCATTCAGACGAACACCAGGGAGGCGGACAGCAAGCACATGAGATTTGTCCTGGGTGCAACTGATGCCAACCCAAGAAGTACAAATAGAGGTAGAATTGCTCCAATTTAGCTTCCGCCCATGAGGAACACTGTCAGCAAATTCAAGGAGGGCTTGCTTGTCTGAATTCAGATCAGCAATTATTTGGGGAATAGAGAAAAGGAGCAAGAGCAGAGGCAGTGCTTCAAAAAATGAGTGCAGCTTCATAGTGTGTTGTTGATTGAAGTTCTATGAAGGTGCTTGCTACCGTGAAGAGTGTAATTTCACAAATTCTTCAAGTTCTCCTGGAAAAACACAGAAGGTTTCAGAACATTAGTGCTGTTCATTTTCCTGGTACTCACACTTGGTAAGTAAAGTAGCAAACCATACAAACCAAAAAACAAAGAATCACAACGAAAGAAAATTTATACTTTGTTGTTTAACTATTAATATTTATGAGGCAGAGAAACCATACAATGAAACTTTTCTAACAGGAAAAGAAGAGGTATTTATTTATTATTATTATTTTTTTTTTTTGAAACAGAGACCGTTTAAGATGAGAAAGCACTAAAAACGTTAAACAAAACCCAGTAGAAAATGAAAAGCCAGTTAATTTGTAAACAATGCTGCTTAGAGCACTAGATTTTTAAGGGAATTGAGACAGAAAACCCAGGTTTGACATCAGCAAGATGATGGAACTATCCCCACTTAGACTGTTTCTCACATTATCTTGTTCAAAAGGATATACATCTTTGAAGTTGGAAAGAACATCATTGTAATCTGTATATTCCAATTGAAATATACAAGAACATCAGAAACAGCCAGATGCAGCATACTTCATGACTTCAATTAGCAGCATTGGAAACCTTCTTAATTCTACAAAAATTCAAGAAATTGTGTCTAATGAACCACTGAAAGATACACTATATCTCCAACTCAACCAAAGTGGCTTTCCTAGCGCACCTCTTTGCCTCACTTAACCTAACTTGTATATTATTAGAATATAAATCTAAAATTTCAAGAAGGATTACAAAAAGGTACTTGTGCTAATCAATATTATCTAAAGTGGAGTCACTACAGAGAAAGAAGCAAAAGAAGAATCCTTTTCTAAAAGAGAGAGAGAGAGAGAGAGAGAGAGAGAGAGAGCAAAATCACTAAAGCAAGTAATTCCAAATCCCAAAAAGCATGCTTTTTTTAGCTTTCAATTATTCTTCACCTTGACAAAAGTGAGTTAGATAACATGGAATATCAAGTAAACAACAGAAATAATGTACCAAAATATACCCATGAAAACTTCCAAGTGATATCTCAAAGTTTTTAATTGAAAACAAAAAGAGAGAGGAAACTTGATTAAGAAATTTCTTGTTAGTAGTTCCGAAATGGCAAAGAGATGACAAATTAAACATTTCATAGTCAAAAAGAGCAAACCAATTGCTGAGAAAATACTAAAGCCTTAAACAAAAATTAAGTACTTGATGTTAATCAAAGGGCAAGAAATAGAGCCATTTTGATTATGTGCATTACATTCCATGGGCAAAAATAATTATAATAATAAAAGAGCTGAAAGAATTCAAAAGAAGAAAGGTAATGATCTCAAACCTCAAATGCCAAATGGGAAATTGAAGTTTGTCCCAATGGTTGTAATACATGTCAATTTACTTCAAAAGCACAGAATAAATCTAACTTTTCTTATGAAACATCACCAGAGACAAAAGCACTGGTGTCAAAAACTCTTCTTTCAAGAAAAGACTCTTATTTAGGTATAAATTCTTGCAATCAATCAATTCAATTCGCTAGGAAAAACTGAAGCTTTTGAGTAAATTTAGTCTCAGACGGTGAAGAAAACGCTTCTTCAAACCATAATTGAGCAGAGACTGTCATTATAATAAGCGTTAAACAAAGTAAATACTAAAATCTAATTAAAAAACAATAAATTGTCTGTCATTTTCCTCAAAACTTTCTCAGCAACCAAGCAGAGAGTCGTCATACCCACATTTTCCTATCCAAAACCCAACTAAAACCCACCAAACTTTCCTCAAAACACACCCACATTCATACTAAAAATCCACCCTTTAACACCTGAAAACATGTTTCCCAAATCTCCACGAAGCAAAACAACAACAAACCCACAACCAAAAACCAAGAAAGAGTCTGAAACACTACCTGGGATTGGTGTTGTCATGAAGCAGGAGCTTGAAGAAGACAGCAACAAGACATGGCTTAACGTTAAAATGGAACACAGGAACATATGAAAAGGGGGTAACAAAATCTATAGCTTTAACGGCAAAACTTGAGTTACACGCTCACTAAAAAAAGCAGGTTAAATTAAAGTAGGAAGCTCAAGTAGAAGTAGAAGAAAGTACTTGAGTTGTAGGAGATTCGGCAGAGCTTTCAATTCAATTCAAAGGAGTTTGAAAGCTTCTGCGTTAAGCCAACGAAGTGTGAAAAACGCAGATCTCGATGCTGCATTTACATTAACATTAACACAAACACAATAAACCTCAGCTTCACTTCTAGTTGAGGAGCTCTACCAAACTCCTTAACGGACTCAAAATAAATAATTAAATATGAGAAGCTACCCATGAACACCAAAAATCATGTAAATTTTTTTTTTTTAATTAAAGGTTAATTTTTTTTTTACTTAAATTATTAAGATAAATATTAGATTTATCGATTTGTTACAATACAATGTGTTGAATTGAGATAGAGATAAAGATAAATTTAGATCGATCACAACACTGGTTTTATTTTTTATTTTTTTTTGGTGATTGGGGTTTTTTATTTTATTTTATTATCCTTTTGGTGACGGGGATTGTCCGGCTCGTTTTACACGTATTTTAATTAACCCTCACTAATCTCTAAAGTTAATAATCTGGTATACTCTTCAGTGGTCATCTTTATTAACAATCAAGATGATTCGAACTCAGGACCTTTCGAGTAATGCTATCAAAAATTCTTATCCAACTACTAACCACCCAATGTGGTCAACTGGCTTTTAATTTCGAAAGGGATTACATTTTCGTCCCTATCGTTTAGCCTATTGTTAGTCATGGATGCTTATTTCAAATACTAGTATTTTGCTCATTTGACTTAGTAGAAAGCTAATCGACTTAGAATTATTGAAATGACATTAATACCCTTCTATAAAATAATGAAAAATGCATTACATGAATAATAATAGTGTGTAATGTGTTTGTTTAATAACGTAAGGGAAATGGTTTGAATTACATTAGTATTGCTTATGTAATGCATTTTTTTCGTTATTTTCTAGAAGGTTAATTTTGTCATTTCAGTATGACTTCCAATGTCAATTAACAATCAAAGTTATGGCAAGTCAAATGACCAAAATGCATTTGGAGCAAGTATCCTAGACTAAAATTATAGGGATAATAATGTAATTTCTCATTTCACAAACTTTCTAAGAAAATTAATTATAATTTCTCTTTGCAAACTTGTTTATATTCTATACTACAAAAGTTAATCGAAGTAATACAAAGAATTAACCATTTAGGTTATAGTCGGATGGTAAGACTTTAATTATCTGGGTGAGTTACTTAAAGGTCTTGGTTTGACTCACATTTGTGACGTATCTGACTTATTGCACTTGTAGGGTATTCAATAGACCTCGATAACGAACACCCTGGTTATAATAAAAAAAAAAAAAAGTAATACGAAGAACTTTATTATATTCAAAGTAGCATAAGGGTTGAAAGCTCCCCTTAAATCAAATTTCAAAAGGTTGACCAGTCACTAAAGAAGTTGGGGGGTATAAATTTGATTCTATCATACAATAATTACATGACCCACTAATAAAATTCTTTGGACACACAAGCTATTGGATCCTTAGGGAGAATTCAAAAGCCATCACGCTCACTCACTCAATCCTTCTTTGGTTGGGAGATTGTGTTTTGGAAGGTTTGAGGAGAAAATTTTTGCAAAATCCAATGGTGGGTCATTTTATATATATATTTTCTTTCATTATTGGTTCTCAAATCTAAAATTGGGTAACATAGTATAAAACCTTTGTATTACACATATAATAAAGAAGGGTCATCTTAGAAAGTGTAAATCATGAAATGTATGGAACCATTTTATGGGTACATTAAGGCTTTGGATGCTACAAATGAAAAAGGACAAAGTTGAATTGTGGTAGTGGTGCCCATAAAGTGATGCCCTAAGCCCCATGCTAATGTTCCCATGTGCATAGTAGTAAATTATTGTGGCCTCCAATGGAAAGTGATGATAAATGTTGTAGAAGAAAAAGATGTATTCCTTCACTCTTTATTAAGTAGATATTGTTTATTTTTAGTTTAATTTATATTTACTTTTGAACTTCACGCAAGCATCTTTCATGCAAATCATGTTTATGTAAATGGAGAAATCCAAAACTTATAAACTCATTCAAATTATCTGTTAAACAATTTGGTAAGACAAAACACCAGTTTATACATATTTCAACTAATCATATAAGTGACTAGCATGACATCCCACTGTCATGATCGTCTGCTTAAATCTTAAAGTTAGGGGGATTCAAACATGAAACCGTGCGCCTTAACCACATATCTCAATATTTGTCCTACCACTTGAACTATCAATGGTGGCTTTGAAAGCACTGGATTAATTGCTTAATTGAAGTCTTATGTGAAAAAGAAACTTTAATAATTGAACAACCTAGGAGGTTTAGGTTGGTGTTGAATTTATAAAGGGTTTTGACTTGAAGGGTAAAATATATCATTCATTAAATGACTTAGAAGGGAAAATTAAGGATTTGATGCAATAATGAAAGCGTTATTATCACCAGAATTAATAATGTTAGTGTTGTTATTATTGTCATGGTAAATACTCAAAACATCATTATTGTTGTGTTTAGAAACCAGCAAGCAATAATTCAATACAATATGTGTGTTACAAGAAAGAATAATACTACACCAACAACTCTTTTTCACAAACTTTTTCTCACAACTTTAACATGGCAACTCGCAGTTGGTCAGCTCACAACGGATCCTTCATGGGTCCCGTATGAGTCCCACTAATTAATTGCGAGCTGATCAATTGTAAGCTGTCACGTCAAGGTTGTGAGAAATGGTTGTTGGTGTAGTATTACTTTATGGGGGTGTTTGGTTCAGGGAATGTTGGATTACTAGAAAGTTAGATTACCTTGAAGATTATTGAGAATCATTAGGAAAATGTGTTTGGTTAATTGGTATGTATGTTATATTAATATGTTTGGTTGAGAGGAATAAATTGGTGGGTATGTTATTTAAATTATTGAATTGTTTTCTAATTAAATATTATTATTATATTATTTTTTAATATTGATTATTATTTGGATTATTATAACCCCCTGCATTTAAAAACTTAGCAAAAACAACCCCATAATAAAAGTTTGGAAAATCAACAAAGCACCCTACCAACCTAGCCACTGTCGGCCGTCGGCAACCACTGCAGGCCACCAGCAGCTAGCAACCTAACGGCGCCGGAAGGCAGGAAATGGCTTTTGTGCGCCATATGGCCATTTCTGGCCATAGATCCGACAGGAAATGGCCTCCATGCGCGACAGATTTGGCGATTTTCGGCCAGATATCTAGCAAAAAATGGCCATATTGGTGCACGACGGTCATTTTGGGCCTTCCGTGCGCCGTTTCGATGGCAGCGACGGCTGGCCATGGCGGTGGTTGCTGGCGGCAGGTTGGTGGGGGTGGTGGCTTGGGTGGGCTGCAATTTATTTTGAATTCAAGGGTAATTTTGTCCAAAAAGTTAATTAATTAGGGTGAAATAGTAAAAGTCATATTCATGTAAATAAATTTAAAAATAAGGGCATTATTGTCCTAAAATTTTATTAATAAGAGATAGAATTGTAACAAAAAAAGATAACACTGGTAATCTTAGAATACTTAAGAAAATAGAGGTAATCAGATTACCTCCAGTATTACCAATAGTAACCACTATTGGTATTTGAAGATTATCGATATTTTATATTACTTGACAACCAAACATGGTAATTAAGTAATATAAGATGACCTAACCCCAGTAATCCCATATAACCCTCAACCAAACTCCTCCTACAAGAAATAATGTTGCAACACTTATGGCTATGGGTTTCCAAGCTATAATAGAAATATGTGGATGAATTGGATTTGCTAATACATTTGACAAAAGGGGCCAGGGGGTGTTACATTAATGTATGAATTTATTATGGGTAGCAAAGGAAGTAGTAGTTGAAACCACCACATATGAAATTAATGTACAAATTGAAGTCACATGCATTATTATATCTCCTTTGATTTCTTACCACTAAAATGGTGTAGGAGGTCACATAGGTTTTTAAATATATAGAATATAAATCAAAGATTCTTTTCTCTCTAGTGAAGGCAAATAAAATAAAGTTGAAAATTATTAACCCTAAGATGTCATGCAAAAACACATAGCTAATTAAGAACAAGATTAAATGTATACCTCTTTGACTTATTTAAAAAAACCCATTAACATATATATAAAATAAACCCATTTGGAAAAGGATAGAAATGGTGGAGTTGTTGAAAAGAAAAATACAAATAAAAGGTCAAGTTATAAGTTATAACCACTTCAACCAACTAACGTTAGTTGAACATAATAAAATTAAACATATAAAAGTAAGTCCCTTTTGTCATTTCCAATACTCTAGTCTGCCTTTTCTTTCGGTCCTACTGTTTTTTGTTTTTTGTTTTTCCCTTTGTCCTCTATCTCATCTTGGCATTGAAATTTGATTTGAATGTGTCATCTTTGCCTTTTGACCCAGGTAACTCATGCAATATTGTGGTATGTAAAACGAAATTTCAAGATAGGAACAAGCATGGACAGCCACTCCATTGGACTAATGGGCTGACTAGTAAACTATGGGCTTCTCCCGTGTTAGTAGACTCACTACTCTTCCGATGTTGAAATTACCACATTAATGTAACATACTCTCATAGACCCATTATATTTGAACTAGAACCCATAGAAAAGTATTACATAGTTGATTAAGACAGCTTGATGATGGCCATGTAACTAACCCTGAGTGATTCAATAAAGACTCTTAGATATATTGCTTAAGAAGTCTAAAATTTAAGTCTCTTTTCGATTGTTAATAGAGATAATCATTAGAGCTTTTACTTGACCGATAGTTTCAGGGTATAGAAAAATTAGTTAAGTCGTACGTAAACTGAGTCGGACACCTTTGGTCATAAAAAAAAATAAAATAATGATGGTCATGAAAGTCAAAATCCACTCAAGAGTATGTAACAACTCACCTGCCAAATCAGTTAGCCTCAAAACTGTATGGTACTAAAATGCACAACATATACCCAGGTTGATTGGCTATTTTGCTGCCCATGGGTGCCAAGGCGTTATCTTACACAAGGTTACTATGATGCTTGATACACTTACAAATTTGAAGCATAAAATGCAAATAATTGAAGACAGATAATAGAGCCATTATCTTTTGCAGAAAAATACAGCCTCTACACTCAGGTGTTTTAGTGATAGAAGTTGACAGATTCCATTCTTCCAAAGTAACCAAATAATGGTAAGAGCATAGAATATAATTTAAAAATTATCAAAGAGAAAAAAGAAAAAGAAAAAACCCAATTCTCCGATATGCTATAACAGGCCGAAGGGTTCTGGCAGTGGGTCGAACCCGTTATCAAAAATCAGTCCTTGTTCGGATTTATCATCGATACTATGCAGCCAATTTGTGTTCTTCAAATCCTCTTTAAGTAGTAATGCATCATAACGGGAGCTTTCATAGATGTCTACTTCACTCAACTTTGCAGAGTATCGTCCATCATTTGCATCATTTCCATTTTCTGAGGTTCTGCTGATGCTGTTTCCTCTCTCCCAAATGCCCCTATTTTGGAGGCCTCCATTGATGTTCACAGATTCCAAAGCTCGAGCAGAATGGGTTTTAGAAGTGGCAGATCGAATACTCTGAGGGAAGAGGGTGGTGCCTGAAAGTTGACGGATGCTCCCTGAACCATTTCTTATATCCTACATCAGATATAGATATATGGTTAGGATTTATCTCAAGTGATATAGCTTGTCTCCTACAGCAGAAAGAATTTCTATTAACTTGCAACCTAAGATGATGAAATCTCTTACTTTGCACTAGCAGTAATAACAAAACCCACCGTTGTTACTACCCCCTTATGCAGCTATTACACAAGCCATAGATACAAGCTCCCACTCAAATACCGAAGCAAATCGGCTGCCACTTCAGACAGAAGGGAATTACCTAGCTGATATCTTTAAAGTAAAAACATCATCTGGCATGGGCAAAAAACAAACTACTAACCTGAAATAGATTTCTTCAGTCATATCCCAAACAACTGTATTTGAAATTAATCATTCAGTTCATTAGAAGTTGTGATTGATAGAAATGCAAATGTTGTTGCAGTATGACTGAGACAATAGTCATTGCAGCAGCCAAGAAGTAACCAACTTCTATGATAGTGGGTCATATCCTCTATTTGTTATCTTGAAATCACTTATTCCACACAGACGGGGCTTAGAAAGTTGAATGTAATTTGAATAATAGCATTAAAATTTGGAAAAGTCCTGATGTATCTTTTTCTCCTTTATTTAATTTCAGTTCTGGTAGGAGATTAAAAAAAAAAAAAAAGTGACTACTAAGAGAGAAAACCTACCGAAAGAAAAAATGAAGCAAAAACCAGATGGAAAATTAATCCGTAGATGACTCTCTATATGCCAAACCATTTAGTTAAGCTAGTTGATGTTATTTTCACACTCCAACTAATTAATTAATATATCACATTTTGATGCAGAGGAAAATACATACCATATGCCTGATGGCCATGTCCAGTGATTTTTTGGATATTGTCCTCCCAAATCCAGTGCTCTCTGGTACTGTAGATGAGGGCTTTACAGGTTTCCGCATCGACAACTCGGAGATGTGTGAGGTCCTTCGAGACTCTGGTATGTCAGTATGCCCATTGGCAGGAGTACGACTCCTTCCAGGGGGGTCTGTGAGTCTTCCCCTCGACACAATGGGTGATGAATGTCTTCTTGGCATATTTACAGAGCCAGTAGCTTCTGGGTTCCCTTTTACAGTTACAGAACCTGGCCTGGACCTACCTGCAGACACTGGCCTGTCTGGTGGCAAAGTTGTTCTAAGGTTTGGTGGTGTGTCAAGAGGAAAATCAGGAGGAACAACTGGCTGTTGTGGGGGCCGAACTCGGGGGCTTGGGGAGCTGGGTCGAGATGCTGGTCCAGAAGTGCGCCCATTTGACATAACACGGCCAGCTGAATTTGAAGGACCCACTGCTGGAATTATGGAAGAAACTGGATTCCGACGAGTGGGAGTTGATGGACGAGAGTTTGATCGGGAAGCTGTGGAATTCAAGTTTGCAGGGATTTGAGGCCTAGAACTTGGAGTTGATGGCCTTGAATTTTGGGTTGGTCGGGTCCGGTCAACAGAAGAGCTGGTGAGAGAAGGACGGGTTCTAGAAGGAGTTGAAGATCTGGATGCAGTTGGGCGGGACGATGGTGTGGAAGGTCTTGATGCAGAACGTGTACTCGGGGAGGCAGGTCTAGTGTAAGATGAGACTGAAGCTGAGCTAGTATTGAGGATTGAAGGTCCTCTATTAGAAGAATAAGTACTATATTGTGAAGAAGAAACTGAAGAGCGAGTCACTGAACTGCTTCTGGCTGGTCTTGCGGTATGGTTACTTTCCGATTGTGAAACTGAAAGCTGAAACAAAAGACAGCAAGAGATTTTAATCAATCACACTCACAAACTTCAACGTTAATTAAATGCAAGCCAAATTACAAGAAAATTTTACTCTCAATTAATTATTTTCAACTTTTTGAATCTTGGGCAGCCAAAACAATATTATGTTGTTTGTCATGAATCACCCCCTCCTCCCATCCAAAGGAAAAGAACAATCACACTGCAAACGTTGAGTCTAACATCTATTCATTAAACCAGGGAAGGGAGGCAGAGTTAAGATAAGGATGAAAACACATACCCTTGAAGCCTTTGTAGTGGAAACAGATCTAGCCAAGGAACTGCTTCTCGGAGCAACTGGGTTTGTTTGAAATTCACTTCCATCGGATGAAGGTAAGAGAGGAGTGCCAGGAGGAGTAAGAAGCCTAATTTCATTAACAGATTTAATAAAAAAAAAAAAAAAAGTAAGCCACTAATTCAACACAGGCAGTGATCTCCTAAAGTGAGGTCCTCCCTGTAAATGTTATCTTAATATTTAGTCGATTCTCTAACTATCTCAAGATAAATAAACATCTCAATGGCAGAAGCCATATCAACCGCAAGACTCACTCAAATGTCTCTAAAGATGTTACTAAACAAACAAACAAACAAAAACAAGCAAATTTTCAATTAATGACTTGGTTTCATACTGCATCAGATTCAAATAAACAAACTAAAGATATTAAAGATCCAAACCTTGACTTAGTAAACATATGATTATTAAAAAAAAATTACCAGTCATAATCGTGCTTTCCTCCCTCCGTAGACGACAACAGATCATCGATCCCACTCCTTGCCAATTTCGCTGATCCAACTGACAGTCTCCCCAGCTTCACCGAAACTGTTAAAATTTTTCATAACTAACTAACATCAGCCAAAACGCCACCGTTTTTCCTCCCCAGATAATAAAATCCAAAAAAATGACTCACCATCAGAAGAATCATCGGAGGACGCAACGGACAGAGTACGACGAGTCTTAGAGAAAAGGTCAAGCTGGTTCTCATCCGACACGTCCTTCGACAATCCGCCGGTCAAACTTTGACCACGGCGGTGACTCCGTAACTGCATTCCCTCCGCCGCAGGAATATTCCTTGACCTGTTCATCATTTCACACTAATTACCTTCCTTTCCTCCACCATAACCGAGAGACAGAGAGAGAGATCCACCGCTACACAATGGCAGTAGTAGTATATGCAAAGCCAGCTTCTCAAATTTTTATTTTTCCATTTTTTTTAAATATTTATTTTTTAATTTACGTCATATGAAATGAAAAAGACAGTGAGAAGAGAGATCCATTAATTTGCCATTTAGCGTAATTAATTAATTAATTAATTAATAATTAGCTTTAAGATCTGTGCTTAAATGTAATTAAACAAAAGGGGGTGATTGTGTGGGTGTCACATGGAGTTTTGATTTGTTAATAATAATAATAATAATATGATAAATTTTGGACCCACCGACCTTATTGTAAAATTTTTATTAATTAATGTGTTATTTATATAGTATATAGTTATATTTGGGAAATTTTTAAGATATGATGTCTCACCCATATAAAGATGAATGTGATCACTTCTCTCATTATCCCAACCACTCCTTCAAAGTTAGTTGGATTAATTTTGACAATTAAGGTCATTATTTTATATATAATTATATGATTAATTATGAATGTTTAGGTGATTGCAAGTAAACAACTTTTTCTTATTTTATAGGTGTGTTTCATGAGACATAACACCCACCAACGATAAATGAGCATCTTTTTAAGTCAGGTAGTTTTCGAATATTTATGTTCAAATTTGGGTATTGTTATCGATGAACGTTCAACCATGGGGAAGTTGTGGATAATTACTAAGCTAGAGCATGGTTCAAGTAAATGAAATTTTCGATAGAATGGTGAAATGCGTAGAGATTTAAAAAAAAAAAAAAAAAATCATAAACAATAAAAACACTTTGTTGTATTGGTTAGGTGGGCCAATATCCTGTAATGGCGGAAGCTTGGAGGTAGAGTCACATTGGATCGTTGTATAGGACTGATGGTGATAATTGTCTAATTTTGACTAGTGATATCAGAGTTTAGTTATGGGGTTGAGTCCTTTGAAGAGCATGCTACTTGCGTGCAGATGTTGATGGGAGGATTATCGGCTAACATTGAGAGACGAAAGCTAGAAGAGAATAAGATTAAATATCCTTATAACCCTAGTTATAAGCGATGGATACTAAACGTTATACATATCGACCCATTACATAGTTTTAGTAAAAAATGTAAATAATGTGATGAATTTGCATGATATGATGAAGGTAGAGAGAAGTTGTGATGTTTGATTTGATTAATGTTGAAGAATGGTGGTGGGTGGGCAAATACGTAAACATCAAATGAGTGGGGGCAAGGGCAAGGGCAAGGGCAAGCACAGGATATTACATGAATCGATGATGGGCCATGATGGATAAAAAGAAGACCAAGACTTGTGATATTTGGACCATTTTGGAAAAGGATGTGAGAGAAACATATGGACCAACATACCAAGCCCAAGGAGCCATTAAGCCATGTGATGCTTCCTCAGAAACCACATTCATCATTCATAAATCAATGTATCCGACAACAACACTTACTTTGATGTTTCACAATTTGCCCATGTTGTTATTTTTTTTTTTTTAATAACCGGGTATTCGGGCTAGTTTGTACCCATCTTAACTAATTTTTAAAATCTATTGAACAACCTATAAGCCAAATGAACCAGATAAGTTACAAATATGATAGATGATTACTTTGTGAGACTCGAATACAAGACCTTTGGATAACCCACCCAAATGGCTAAAGTCTTGCTATTATTAATGTTTTTGTGTAATCCAAAAATCCTCCAAATTCTCTTTGCAAACCCGCTTTTGAAATTGGAATCCCATCAAACCCTATAATCTTTGGAAAGAAATCTTTGAAACGAACCCAAATTTGAAATTAGAGTCATGTTGAACCCTATAGTCTTTGAGAATAAATATTTGAAATGAACCTGACATTTAATTTAGAATCTGGTTGAACCCTATAATTCGGGAATAGAGAGGATTGATCGTTCGACTAACTCGTATGAACAAACCAAATTCACTTTACATCTTAAATTCTTTATTGAAGTACAGGAGAGGTTGCTATATCCAAATATGTGGTAAGAGGTGCATTATTGAATGTAATAGTACAACGTAGACAGCTAAAGAAAGAACTTGCAAAGTAGCTTTGCAAGTCGCCATCTTCTCCTATCAACTTGCTATAAAACTCATATTATTCATTTAACAATTCATATGTATTTGGTATTCATACTATTTTTATGGACGAACTAATATTTGAGGTTTCGTGAATCTCTCGTATTAAACACATCATTATATATATATATACACACACACACTTATTATTTCATAATAATATGGAAGTTTACCCATATGCAAAATATTCACACAAATATATCAACTAGATGAATATTGATTGTTGAATTTGACTTATTTTTCATTAATTGTAATGATACTTGTAACGACGGAAATGGCTAACCATTGTTAAATAAGAATTTGATATATAGCTATAGAAAAGAAATAACAGATTACCCACCTTGGCTCTTGGGTAAGTCAAATGGTTGGACGAGTGCTGAAATATGTGGTTAATGCGCACGGTCTGAAAAAAATGGAAGGCAAATGATGTATGTAGGTGGGATTATTCAATCTTTAAAAAATATCGAGAGTTAAAATATTTTGCTACACCAAACTGAGGAAATTGGATGAAGAGGCCACCATAAACAAAGTTTTATCAAAAGGGAATGATCAATGATTAGTTACTAAAATATTCATATTATCATGATTTATTTGTTTAATTTCACCATATGAAAAGGAATGAATTCAAATCATACATATGATATGATATGATATGATATGTATTGTGAGAGCTAAACAAACCTTACAATAAAATGACTTTATATAGTTAATGAAGTTAATTCATGGGATATAATTTAAAACTTTTGATCTACTATTGAATTCATGGGTAAACAAGAGACAATATACAAATTGAAACATCTTAGTAGCCAGCAATGATTTGAAACCTGGATCGGACTGACCGGTTCGACCATTGATCGACCCCTTCTTTAGTCCGAGGCCCCCATTAACCCGGATTGACTAGCGGTTGAACCGGCGGAATAGTACCAAACCGTCGGTTCAACCAACTTGGTGGCTAAATTGGTTTACTAAAATCCCTAAAATTAAAATTTGCTATAGTGCCGGCGTCGCCGCTAGCCATTTTTGCTGATTCCGATGCCATTGCAACCACTTGACACTACCATCGACATCACCTTCACCTCCAGGACACAACTCCTACCATCTTAAGCCAAGTGAACCCGCCGATCTCGATTGCCGTCCACTTGCTAGTTCGCACGACTGCCTATCTTTAGGCTAATTCCCTATCGCTTCGACGACAATCACTCCACTTGATAACACCATCAGCACCATCTCCTTCTCCACACCAAAACCCCATTCACCACGGCTTGAGTTTGCTCACTGATCATTGTCCGCCACTTACTGCACCGATCAATCGCCCAACACTTTGTGCCTCCCCAACCGCATGCAAAGAAGCTTTCTCACCTTCCCCTAGCTACCATCTCGTTGCACTGTCATTCCTAAGTTGATGCTGATTGTGTTTGGTTGTGTTTGGGTTTGGTTGAATGATTGATCGATCATGGATATTCTCTGATTCTGAAGTGGAGTTTTGTTTCGCACGTAGGGGTGTGTTTGCTGGATTTCAAACCTGTAGGGACTGATGATAATTTCTCAATTCTCTTTGCAAACCCGCTTTTGAAATTTGAATCCCATCAAACCCTATAATTTTTGGTAAGAAATCTTTGAAACAAACCCAAATTTGAAATTAGAGTCATGTTGAACCCTATAGTCTTTGAGAATAAATCTTTGAAATGAACCTAACATTGAACTTAGAATCTGGTTGAACCCTATAATTCGGGAATAGAGAGAATTGATCGTTTGGCTAACTCGTATGAACAAACCAAATTCACTTTACATCTTAAATTCTTTATTGAAGTACATGAGAGGTTGCTATATCCAAATATGTGGTAAGAGCCTAAGAGTTGAATTATTGAATGTAATGGTACAACGTAGACAGCTAAAGAAAGAACTTGCAGGATAGCTTTGCAAGTCGCCATCTTCTCCCATCAACTTGCTATAAAACTCATATTATTCATTTAATAATTCATATGTATTTGGTATTCATACTATTTTTATGGACGAACTAATATTTGAGGTGTCGTGAATCTCTCATATTAAACACACACACACACACACATACTTATTATTTCATAATAATATGGAAGTTTACCCATATGCAAAATATTCACACAAATATTTCAAGTAGATGAATATTGATGGTTGAATCTGACTTATTGTTAAACAAGAATTTGATATATAGCTACACAAAAAAAATAACAGATTTACCCCCTTGGTTCTTGGGTAACTCAAATGGTTGGACCAGTGCTGGGATATGTGGTTAAGACACACGGTTTAAAAAAAATGGAAGGCAAATGATGTATGCGGGTGGGATTATTAATCTTTAAAAAATATTGAGAGTTAAAATATTTTGCTACACCAAATTGAGGAAATTGGACGAAGAGGCCTCCATAAACAAAGTTTTATCAAAAGGGAATGATCAATGGCTAGTTATTGAAATATTCATATTATCATGATTTATTTGTTTAATTTCACGATAAGAAAAGGAATGAATTCAAATCATACATATGATATGTATTGTGAGAGCTAAACAAACCTTACAATAAAATGACTTCATATAGTTTAAGAAGTTAATTCATGGGATATAATTTAAAACTTTAGATCTACTATTGAATTCATGGGTAAACAAGAGACAATATATGAATTGAAACATCTTAGTAGCCAACAATGATTTGAAACCTGGACCGGACTGGTTGGTTCGATTGGTTCGACCATTGATCGGCCCCTTCTTTGGTTTGAGGCCCCTATTAACACGAATTGACTAGCGGTTGAATCAGTGGAACAGTATCAAATCGCCAGTTCAACCAACTTGGTGGCTAAATCGGGTTACTAAAATTTGCTACAGTGTTGGCGTCGCCGCGAGCCATTTTCACTGATTCCGATGCCATTGCAACCACTTGACACTATAATCGGCATCACCTTCACCTCCATGACACAACTCCTACCATCTCAAGCCAAGTGAACCCGTCAATCGTCAATCGCCGTCCACTTGCTGGTTTGCACAACTGCCAATCTTTAGGCCAATTTCCTATCGCTTCTAATGACAATCACTCCACCTGACACCACCATCAGCACCATCTCCTTCTCCACACCAAAACCCCATTCACCACGGCTTGAGTTTGCTCGCTGATCATCGCCCGCCACTTGCTACACCGATCAATCGCCCAACACTTTGTGCCTCCCCAACCGCACGCGAACAAGCTTTCTCACCTTCCCCGAGCTACCATCTCATCGCACTGTCATTCTCAAGTTGATGCTGATTGTGTTTGGTTGTGTTTTGGTTTGATTGAATGATTGATCAATCGTGGATATGCTCTGATTCTGAAGTGGAGTTTTGTTTCGCACGTATGGGTGTGTTTGCTGGATTTCAAACCTATATGTACTGTTAGAATTTTTTTATGGTTTTTTTTTTTATTTTTTTTTTTTGGTTTTATGTTTATGTCACTGATTTGACCTACCAGTGGGATCTCCTAACTTAGGAATTGGCTCCTTAACCCAGGTCAAGGCCCAGGTTGAGTTTAAAAACATTGGTAGCTAGAATAATGATTCCTATAGTAGTGGTGGGCAAAATAAGATCATAACCTAATCGTGAAAATGGGGTTGTGGGAGAGCATAATTTAATACTAATTAAAACAAACCAATATACATATAAGGATATAATTAGCAACTTACAATACTTGGAATGAATGGTCTCAGGTAGGTTAATTTTAGGTAATGAAAAATGGATTAGAGGTAATGATTCTTGTTAATGACTATGTGCTTAATAGTAAAGTCAAACACAGCTCATCCTCCATTTTGAGGAGATACTAAATTGACTTGGATTGGGTTGCCGACAATGGAAGATACACAAACCATCTTACTAGTTGAAATAGGGAGCTGGCCTAATACACAAAATAATCCCACCCCCTCTCTACCTTCTCCCAATTTCAAATTTTATGTTTTGATTGGATAAACCCTAGCTAGTAGCTACCACTCTTTGTATCATGCCCACTAATTTACATCTTTAACATAAGTTGACTTCTTTCTAACACTACTTTTCCCATAAAATTATATCAAATATTTGCTTTACATTACGTGTGATCCAATCTCAATATTATTCCTTCTTTATTGGCTCAATTCTGCCTCCCTCCTTGAATCTCTCTCACACTTCCATTGGTGGTTCAATCACACATTCACTTGTTTATTGATATATCCATGGATAGGTCAGCCCTTTATCAGAATATAATGCAGAAGAAAATGCTCCGTCAATGCATGTGCGTACCACCATTATGGAGGAAAATACAGAAATATTTTAGGCGGTGTAGCTGGTGCATAATTGTTTATGCACCAGCTATTCACTTTATGATTAAGCTAATTAATAAACACTTCGTCTTTTGAGGTGGAAAATATAGTACTTGATGATGATGATGATGGAGAATAAGACTAAATGGGGATCAAATATTTCTTAAAACTTTCCAACCAACCCATGCAAAATGCAATGTTATGGAATGGCACAGTGACGGCTGGACCTCCACTTCTGTGAAGTTGATGGTCTCTGACTCCATTTCCACTTTGTCATGGCTTTCTCTACTAATAATCCCAGCTCTCACAAACCTTGCCGGTTGTTGCTACTCAATTCTTCTTCTTCATCATCATCAATAATTTTCTCCAACCCACTTCTGGGATATACTCTCCAATCACATTTCCCAACCTGTTTTTTGCTTTCTGACGCCACCCCCACCGATTTATTTTGCTATATATAAGTAAACATCCAACTTCATTTCTAAAAATGTCTCTTGTTTTAAGGACTTTATAACTTCTTCTTGCTCCATATATATTGTTTTGGTATATCTATATACACTAGTTCATGTACTATACATATATATTTTCCAAAATTTCATGCAATGTTATAGCTCTCTCTATCTCCTCCTTCTTCAATAGTTAGGTAATCCAGGTTCATTAATGATCATCTTCTTCGATTTTTCTTATTGAAATTTAAAACTTTCCATCACATGGCCATTGTCGATCGGCTGCTCGGATGCATGCATCTTCAACATTTTAGCATGTATAGATGGCCTTGGGGCCATTAATGGTGTGCTTGATTGATTATACCTTCCTTAACTTATAATAGTTACAATCACAAAGACATTCTTCTGCAATTCGTTATATTATTCCTTGTTCATGATCTTCCTTTTCCTTTCCAAGATATCAGTGACCCCAACAAGTCTATATCTTAATTGCCCCACTTCATTTTTATACTTATTTTCTGGACTTGAGAGGTAGAAATAGAATAACTTCTCTTCAACTTAATCTCTTATTGTTGACTTAGCATCTTCTTTTCTTATCTGCTTTATACGTATACAGTATACGTATACGTAGCTCAATCATTTAAGTAAAGAAAAACATAGGTTCAATCAATTAATTCACGTGGCAGACAAAGCAGCAGCTAATTTGGTAAAAATAATTTTGACAGGATGGATCTTTCTCTCATCACTTTCCTGGGAATTTCCACCAGAAAACGACCTTCAACCAAATCTAATGCTAGATTGATTTGCCCTACACCATACGTTATTCCTTCTCATCTCCTAGTTACACAGAAACTTGCTCCCCCATCTTCTCATTACTTTACCATTCTTTCTTTAATCAGCCCACCTTTTCTATATATAAATATGATAACACCTTTACTTAATCCTCTGCGTCGTAAGTTTTGTGCTGAAAAATTTGACTCAGTCTTCTCCTGATTCTAAGTTCATTGTCATCTTCGTAAGTGTTAACCTTCCTATGACCCCAGTGCAACATAAATTCCACAGGCACGACAGAATTTAGTAGACTTAATTTTGATCTAAGTCATTGTTTAATCAGTTATATATCTGGGAAATGTATCCACAAAACATGTTTGCAAAGAGTTGGTTTTTTTATTTTGTTAGAATTCAATTCATCTAATTGATTTGATTTCTTCGTGTAGGAAAAGCAGGAACTTATGTTATTAAAGGCAATGATGCAGCCCGTAAAGGAACTACTGTTGTTTCTGCTGCTTGCGATTTTTACCAAGGCCACTGGCATGAGGCCTCCGCACTCGAGAAGTGCGAGTGATTCTCAGCAAAGCATCAGCTTTTGCCTGAGCTGGAGGCTCGCAGTCGAGGCCAACAATGTACGTGCATGGCGCACTGTCCCAACTCAGTGCCTGCGCTACATTGAAACTTACATGATCGGCGGCCAATATGACAGAGATGTCGAGCTGATTGTGGAGCAAATCTTAAGCTATGTTAATGAAATCGTTGTTTCCGACGATGGCATGGACGCCTGGATTCTCGATGTCGATGACACTTGCATCTCAAACGTTTTCTACTACAGAGGAAAGCGTTACGGGTACATCAACATAAAGCTGTATAATTGATTTATATATGCAGTCATTATCGTTATGATTTTGTGTTCATGCGGAGTTAAGTTTTGAGTTATATGCAGGTGTGATCCATATGATCCATCTGGGTTCAAGGCATGGGCGTTAAAGGGAGGTTGCCCTTCGATTCCTGCCATGCTTGTGCTGTTTAGCAAGCTGGTTGAAGGTGGATTCAAAATCATCCTGGTGACTGGCAGAGATGAAGCCACTTTCGGGGAGGTCACTCGAGAGAATTTGCGTAATCAGGGATTCAGTGGCTACGAAAAGCTGATTATGAGGTCAGACAAAAACTGCAGTTTTTAAGCCGTATTTTCTAAGTCAACGACTTCATTTAAGTTTTAAATATGTTTCTGTGGGCACAGGAGTGAAAGTGACAGAGGCAAAACTGCAGTGGCTTACAAATCTGGAATTCGGAAACAGTTAATGGAAGAAGGCTACAGAATTTGGGGGAATGTGGGCGATCAGTGGAGTGATTTGCAAGGAGAATATGTGGGAAACCGCACTTTTAAGATTCCCAATCCCATGTATTTTGTTCCTTAAAAATTTACATATATAAATTCCAACTCAAATAAGTTTGAACTGTAACCCTTCAGATGAAGCATATAACAAATTCAATAAAAGTTCATGTTTTAGGGACCTTTGTGTTGATTTTGAAATTATATGGACTTAATAAATTATCCCACTTCTGAAATTTCGCCATATTTCCTTGGATTGGATTCAGTAAACGTCCAGCAGTAAGTTGAGACGAAATTTCGGATCAAACTAACAGACAAAGAAAAGGGGAAGGCCCTGTTTGTTTCATTCTTTGTTCAAGTAATGAAAACAAATTCTGATTAAAACTAAAAATTTAGACAAAAAAATTAAAAAAAAAAAAAAATGAATGACGCTGATGTATCGAGGCAGATTCAGCAGATGGTGCGGTTCATCCGCCTGGAGGCGGAGGAGAAAGCTAATGAAATCTGTGTCTCCGCCGAGGAGGTCATTAATGTCTTGACAAAATAATTTTGTATTTAAAATTTTCTTAATTTTCGAGTTGCTTAGACTGCAAATAATTTAACAGGAATCCAACATAGAGAAACTGCGACTAGTTGAAGCTGAGAAGAAAAAGATCAAACAAGATTATGAGCGTTAAGGGAAAACAAGAAAATGCGAGTAAACTCATCGCTAAAGCAGAGCATTAACTGTAATCTTCACAATGGTGTTTGTGATTATTTGGTGATACATGCAGCGAATATTCAACCCAATTGAATGCAGCTCGAATAGAAGTTCTTCAGGCGCAGGATGATGTGGTGAAAGCCATGAAAGATTCAGCTTCCGAGGAGCTTGTGCGCGTTTCCAATGACAAGAAGGCATACAAAACGCTTCTAAAAAGCTTAATTGTTCAGGCAATCACAATTCTTTTTACATTTCATCTTCTAAATTTACAAATGGTGTGACATTGTTTACATTCTGATAATCTTGATATGTTTCTTTTGTATCCTCTAGACTATGCTAAGCCTGAGGGCGCCGGCGGTGTTGCTGAGGTGCAGAGAGATAGACCATAAAGTGGTTGAGTCAATCTTGTATGAAGTGATAAAAGACCATACTGAGAAGGCCAAAGTAGCAGCCCCCAGTATCACCATTGACACTAAAGTGCACCTCCCACCACCTCCAAGCAATGAAGATCCACATGCTCCTTCTTGGTATTTCATTTCCCACCTCTATCTGCAAGTTCTTAAATTCGATGCATCTCTTAAATTATCTAATAAGTTTTGATCACATTACATACTGTTGTTTAACACATTTATTGGTTGATGCTTTGAAAGCTCTGGCGGGGTAGTCGCGGCTTCGCAGGATCGGAAGATAGTGTGTGAGAATACTTTAGATCATAGATTGGATATTGCTTTTCGCAAAAAACTGCCTGAGCTATGTATTGATCAGCAGCAGCAGCATTGCCCCAAGCATGCCTTTGCATAAATTCTGTTTTCTTGGTATATTGCTTGTAGCATTATTGACTATTCACTGAAGTTAATGTTTTTATGGAACTGATCAACAATCAGTTAAGATTAATCTTCTTCTTCTTCTACTCTTCTGTTCTTGCAGATTAGGAAGCGCCTTCTGGGAAAAGTGGGTGCATGATTGCTGGTCTTTAGTCTATTGCTTTTTCTTTATAATGGTAAGAGCGGCAGAATCCTCTTTTTGAGCATTGGTTAAGCATCTTGTATATGAGCTTTCCACTGCTATTACCTGGTTAGTAAGTATGGGTACGCCAAAAATAGGTAAGGGTATGATACGGGTATATGGTGAAAAATATATTTATAAAAATTCAGTCATAAAATTTGGATATGAAAAAATACAATATGAGTATATACTGATTTTATATGACATAACTTTAATAGTACGTTTTGAAAAATACAATAATATTAATCTTGATTTTAAAACTTTTTATAATTATTGAATTAAGGGGTGTTTGTTAAGGCTTTTTATAATCATTGAATTAGGGGGTGTTTGTCTAAATTTATAAGCTGGTCAAACTAACTTATAAGTTCTAAAATTAAGCTAATACGATTTGTTATAACTTTTTGAACTTATAAGAAAAAAAAATTATTATTATTATTATTTTGCTTATGAATATTCTGTTAATAAGCTAGTTTAACAAAATATATTACCATATTATCTTAATTTAATTTTAAAATTTCATTGTTATAATATTATTCGTAGTTATTTTAATAATAAATTATACTTATAAGTCACATTTTATTAAACGCGTCAACTATTTATCAATTACTTATAAATACTTTAACCAAACATATAATTGTTTAAAATTTTAAATACTTATAAACTCAAATTAGCTATTTAAGCTTATAAGCACTAACTCACCCGAACAACTCTTAATCTAGTGTACCCCCATTTCTCATACTAGGAAGACTAAATACAAAATAAAATACTAAGGCTCCGTTTGGTTCACAATTTTGTGTTTTTGGGAAAAGTTTTTTGAAAAAAATTAAAAAAAAAGTTGAATTGGGCGGGTATTACGATGTAGGATTTACAAATTATAAAATACCCCCTATGTTTATTTTTTTACAAAACACCCCTTATAATAAAACATTTAAAGTTAACAAAAACACCCCTAATCCACCCTCAAATACGGACAGCCGGCCACCACCGCCGGAGGGTGGCCGGAGTCGCCGTAACAAAAACATTAAAAATATTTAGGGGTATTTAATTGAAAGCCTAAATTTAGGGGGTTTAAAAAATATTGAATAAAGTTGAATAATATTGTGAGTTTTTGGATATTTTACTGTTTAACTTTTTTGGGAATACTAAAAGTAGTATTCCCAAAATCTAACCAAACGAAGCCTAAGACTGTGGAGATTAATATAACAAAATAATAATAAATAAAATGAACAGGATTTGTTAAAAATTGAAACATTTTCACAACTAAAACTAAAAATTAAATATTTTAAATAAAATTTTCTACCTTAAAAAAAAAAATTCCATGTATTATCAAGCATCAAGATAATAAAATAAAAAAAAAAAACAAAAAAAAGACCAGAAAAATCATTCAAATCCAAAACCCTAATCTACACAACAATAATTCAACCCTAATAAAGCCGCCACCACTGCACCACCAACAAAGCCACCAAAAAATTCAAGAACCAACTTGCTTAAAACCCAGTTAACGCATGAAACCACCACCACGGCAAGACTACTATGACAGCCTCCATCACCATTACAAACACCAAAATTGGGTTGGTGATGGTGAAGGTCCTGACTCTTGAGCGATGGTGGGGTGTATGGGACAAAGAGAACTGAAGAAGTTGAAAAATAGTTGAAGAAGAAGAGGAAGAGGGCGCCAAAAAAGAGACGAAGAGAATTGAAGAAGAGAAAGTGATTTCATTTCATTTGAGTTTTGAGCAAACTGCACTTAAAACATGACGTTTTGGCTGATTAAATAACAAAATTTTATTTTAAAAATTTAGGGCATTTTATTTTAAAAATTTAGGGCCGAATTATACGGTTGGGACATATGAGTAGTGTATAATTCAACTGTACTTATAAAATATGTAAATTCACATTTTATACACAAATTATACGACTGGGCATATAACTTGCATATAAACTGTGAATATACTAACTAGTGTTACGGGCTGTGAGTTTCACACTCAAAAAGTTAATCTATTAGGTGGAGAGAGTCTCCCTATTTATAAACTCAAGACCTCTCCAATATGCTTTAGATGTAGGATTCGTTACATTCTCCCTCACCCAATCTTGTGACGCCCTTGTCACAGGTGAGACCCCTTGCCTACCCGTTTACTTCACTTTCATGTGAACCTACAATCACACGTGAATGTCTCTACATGAATGCTTGGTAAGACATCAAAAGGTAGACTGGATTTGCTCTGATACCACTTATCACAGGATGAGAGTTTCACGCTCAAAAAACTAACCTATTAGATGGAAGGACTCTAACCATTTATAAACTTAAGACCTCCCCAATATACTTTCCATATAAGGATTTCGTTACACTAGGCTGCTTTAGATCAAAAGGTTCCTTCTTCAAGAAGTAATGCTTCTCTTGTTATCAGTTTTCTAGCTCTAAGTAAGGGCTTAATCCTTTGATTTGTTCTCTAATAATTTTATGAAATAAAGCAGAGTATGTCTTCCTTTTCCACTCTTATCCGTTTGTACAAACATGTAAAAGGAGAGTAACTCATCTGATTCAACTGATTTGATCTAAAAAATTGCTTACTTGTACATACTAATACACAAGTGTTCAATGTGACAAATAATCTTGCCAATAACAATGGGGGATTTAACTAAATGAATTGGTCAGTGATGTTTGGATGAGATAGAAAGAAATTTATATTATATATTTCCAGAGATTGCTCAAGGTTTTCCAGACGACCTGAACAATCTTCAGACTTCATTTTCTTTGTGGAGGTGACAGAGAATTGTTCATCTAGGGCCTGACAAGTAAACTGCCATATTTCTTTCAGAACTCATGATACATGAACTCATATACACTTGACCAATTAGTTCGCTTGAGGTAAAGAACTAACCTAGGAAACAGAGTGCCTCCGATTCCTGCCGGTTTTCCCTTCTGCTCTAGATTTACGACCTGACTTTTGACGTTTACCTCCTGCCGGACCACTAAAAATAGCAATCCTTCCTATCCCTCTAGAGAGGGAGGTAAAGAAGGTTTTCCCATTTCCTGACTTATCCATCATACCTTGTTTCATGAATATCTGCTCCTTCTCCAACTCACTCAACCTTACTCTCATTCTTGAGATCTCAAGCTTTAGTTCTCGGTTTTCCCTCCTTAAGGAAGCATAGTTATCTCGAGGGGACATGGCTGCACTGGGGACACCGCTGCTTATTCTCTGTGACAGGAATCCATCTCCAGAATTTCCAGATAAGGAATTCTTCAAACGGAGTTGCTCAAAGTAGAGGACTCTGACGGCCATCTGTACGGGTAGCCTATCATTCTGTGCTGCATGATTGGAGGCTTCTTGTGAGAGCTTCTGACAGTCTATGAACTTGCACAGCTTCTTACAGTCATGTTCAGTCAGCATTGGATGAGCCTGGGCAAGAATATGAAAGACATTGACCAAAGTTAGAACTGAAAAGGAGAAAACAATGAAAGAAATTGGCTCACTCGAGCAACACTAGTCGTAATAATTGAGATTCAACAGGAATCTATTTTAGTCATAAATGATAGAAAAATTAGGCTAACCATCCAGCAAAATAAAAAAGTCTTACCTTCAAATATATGTCAACTGCTCTGTAAAGCCCATCATCAATAACTCGAGCATAATCAGGCAATATCTCAATCATAGCAATGAATTTCTGCAAACTCAAGTAAGGATCAGGAGCAATCTCTGCTAGATATTCATCAATAAGCCTTCCTACTTTCAACAAAGAACCGTGGCCTGGAGAACCAAAGCCTTCTGATTCATAACCACATTCTTCATTTTCTTCATCTGCAATCCGCTGCAGGAAATTTACTAGTATCCGATGGACGGTATCAACATCGAATAATGAATCCCCAACCTGGATGGATGGTATAAGTAGATCATCAAGTGAAACCGTTTCCAACTGAAACGCAATCCTTCTTTCCAGTTCAAGCTTGCAGGCAATACTTGTATCCACCATGATTGCCATCCTTAACATCCCAAAAAGAAAATTCTGTGGAATGGAAGAGCTTTTCTCAGTTGGCAGAAGATTTACAAGAGTTTCCAGTATAGTCCTCTGGTCATTTTCTACTGCAGTAGGGCTTGATCTCATCCTTGCTGGATTCCAAATTTGACATTTTCCAATACCCTTTAATGATGTTTGAGCGTAATGCATCAAAGACGCAGTAATGCTATCTGGTCGAACACCTAAGCCTCCCATGGCACAGATGACTCTCTGATAATAATCAATTCCAAGCAGTGAGAGATCCTCAATCCACCAATCAAGGCACCCACCCTTGAGTTCTGTCGATTCACCATCACAATCTAACCGAGACAAACCAGATGCCAATTGCTCCTTGCAAGCATTCATAGCAATAGCCTCCACGCATCTCTTCACAATCCCCACTTCCTCTACTAAGGAAGGTAGAATCTCACATGTAGAAAGGACTTCCACAGATTTTTCAAGACTTTGTACCACAACCTCATTCAGATAAACTTCTGAGCGTGCAATAAGGTTTTCGTCACGGTAGTCTTCAGTCATTTCCAAGTATTCTGCAGCACAGCGCAATTGGGCAACATTTGCAGTTGTGATCTCAAAGTTCATACCATAACAAAATTTCATAGCAAGCTCGAATGCCTGTGGTCCACCAGGTAAGTTGTGAAGCTCCAATTTGGAATTATTAGAATCCTCGGCATCTGCAATCATTTTCCGAATCTTTCCACTTTGAGAGACCAGGGGAAACTTCAAAAACCAAAACAAATAACATAATTTGATTAGTTTTGGACAAATCAAGTAGTTATTGAGCTCAGATTGCTAGTTATACAAGGCTGCAACAAGAAAATTGAGCTAAGGTTTAGACCAGATCAATAAAACTTGGGCCTGATTTTGCAATTGTTAACATTAAGTAATATGGAGGAAAGAACCTTTATTGAAACCAAGTTCATGAAACAACATAAAAAGCAGACACCAGAAAATATTAGAATAAAATCACCAAAACACTATAATAAAAGGAGCCTTACCTTGTGAAGTAGAAAGGGTTCCCCATCAACAACAATTGTAATGTCCCCTGCAACATCTGAAAAGATACTGCATGCAGAAGGATATTTATTAAATATAAGCATTCTAAAATGATTTATAACCGCATTCAAATTAAATTCTTCAAGAAAATTTGTAGGTCAGATTAAAAAAAAGAAAAGAAAGAAAAAAGAAACAAGAATTCAGAAGAATTGGAACCATCCACATTCTTTACTTCAGACCTGAAACCTTTTTTTCATGTCTCAGCATAACCAAAGTGAGAAAAAAAACACAAGAATCTGAACAAAAATACTTGCAGTACAAATACCAATTGTTTATCCATTTAAAACTAAAAATCAAATCATCCGTTAAGCCTAAAACTAAGCAAGCAGTGAAGTATCCCACGTTCAGCAAGCTAACAGGACAAGAAAAATACACTTATAAAATTACAATAAGACTAGAAGCCTCCATATTCTAATCCAAAACCTTGGAAGAAAAATGTAACACTTTTAACAATACATGCAATGCAAACTACCGAGTGGTGAAGGAGTTACAGAACTTGGGAGCTGGAGAGCGGATGGAAGAAGGAAGGAGGCTTAGAAACCATGTCTCTTTCATCAGCTTCATTCAAACTCAGTCAGTCAAAAGAACAGTCAATAACATTCACCATGTGAGGCTGGAGAATGAACTTGAAACGACGTTAATAACTCAAAGTGGCACAAATTTACTTGCATGACCTTTGTCTTTTTGACATGTACAGCTTGATGAATTGAATTGAAAAGAACTGGAGTCACCTTTTGCTTTCTCCGTCGTTGGGTTGTGTTATCTTTATGTATTATTTATGTCAACTTATCTGAAAAAGAAGAAAATAGAGGACTTGATGAAGAGTGACAGAACAGAACTCACGCTAATTCTGAAAGATAAAAGAAAAAAAATACAAAAGAAGAGAGCTCAATTATTATTCAAAGTTTCGAAGTTGGGGCCAAGACGTTACGAGAAGCAAAGCAAACACACTGTCGTACGTTGATTTTTTTGTTTTGTTTGAATTGACTGCTTTTTATCCCCTGCATTCAACCTTTTAACGGCTTTATTTTACACTCACCTCATATATTCAATAAATTTTCCATTTTTTTTTTCTCACGGCTAAAAGGCACGATGGACAAGGACATGGCTAAGTTATGGGAACCTTATTGAATGAATATGTAAATGATTTGATGTGATGTTTTTGTGGGTGGAATGGAGATGATAGGCATGGAGCGCCAACCGAGTTAATTGGGGAAGAAATCTGAGTGAGATTTTGATGTTAAATTGGGTAGGGGCTGGGGCCTTTGTTGGTCCACCATTGAGATTTCTCATGGCAGTTCTGATCAGGGGCGGACCCAGCCCTTGGCCTACCCTCACATTTGAAAAAAAAAAAAGTTTATATAGACCATTAAAAAATTCTATTAATATATAGATATATATCTAGGGCTATTTTCATATTTAATGAGAAATATTATATATATATTCAGACTCATAAAAAACTTGTTATTAATATATATATTCCAGATTTACATCATATCAAAAGTTTAAAATTTTTACCACTTTTTTCTATGTCAATCTGTTTTTTATGATTTTATCCCTAAAATTCTTTATTTTCTCATTCTCTCTTTCACTTTCTCTATCGTATCTGTTCTTAAAACTTTTGAAGACTGAAATTGTTGAAGCTTTCACTAATCAAGGTGTCACAATTAGCTTTGTTTTCTGTTTTATCAGTTTTAGGTATGTGTATTGCTCATTTCGTTTTAATTTATTTTAGGGTTGAATCATACTTATTTTTTAAAGTTTTTTATTCTAATTTGATGGAAAAAGGCATGTATTTTGTGAGTTTGTTTTGTTTTTTTTTTTTTAAGAATGTTCATGCTTTCCCAAATTAAACCTTAGCTATATTTTACTGAATGTTATTCTTCATCCTTCACCCATTACTTTCCTATATTTCAAACGTCATCGTTTGACTAGCTCCTTTTTATGTAACGGACCGTACCCTGACTCTGATACCAGTCCGGCCACTTCACGCAAGGGTCCTTCGTGACAATACTTGTCACGAAGGACGCTTGCGCGAAGTGACTGGGCTGGTATCAGAGTCAGGGTACGATCCGTTACATAAAATTCAAAATTATTTAAGAAGTTTGAGTTATTATCTATGTTTATACTAAGAAATTTTTTTTTTTTTATTAATTCATATTAAAAGTCAAGGTAACGCTCACTTAATTTAAGTTTTGATTGTAGCTTAGGCTATGCCTGATCAAAGTTATGAAAATTTATATTATAATTTTTGAGAGCGAAAAAAAAAAAAAAAATAAGAGAAATAAGAAATTTGTGTAGAACATTTTTTCGAATTGTGATTGTTGTGAACTCTTTTAATTATATTGGATTTAAATGGATCATTAGATTTCCGTGGTCTTTTGCTCTCTTTAATTGAAAAAATTTTTCTACATAAAAATTTTATTGTGTTTTCTTATGAATTAGATGTTATTTTTAACATAATTTGCTCAATATTTTGCTTCTCATAGATTTATTTATGTAATAAAGTATCATGTTATTACATTACTTTATTATATTATATCCTTTGCTTAAGGTTTGATAATTTTTTTAAAGTTTTTATTAGTTGTGTAACAAACTATGGTAGAAGTATAGGGATCCCTTTGGGCAAAAATCCTAAATCCGCCACTGGTTATGATAATATAAAGAAATGTATGGGCGTGGTGGATTGGAAAAAGAATAAAACAGAGTGACAAAGAGAGAGTGGGCGTGGAGGGTGGCGACAGAGGTGGCACAGAACTCAATAAAGACAGCAATTATTTGAGCCAAACCCAAGTACTTCACTTCCTTTTCTCTTCCTAAGTGTTAAAATGAAAAAACAATTAGAAGAAAAGTAGAGCCCATTTGAAAACTAAAATGGGTAGCCGGCTGCCATTGGCCTTTCCTTTTCACCGCGCAAGGCCGCCGGCTTGGGCGCTCCTCGCGTGGCTAGCACTCTGGCCTTGCCACCTGATGATAATATAATAAATGTTTAATAAAAAAATCTAAATTTATGCGAAATGATAATACCCTTTTAAAAATAAAAACATATTAATGATTAATTACATGAAAATACTAAAAATCAAATGTAAAAAAAAAAAGTTAAATTTTTTCTTAAAAAAATCATGATAAATGAAAAAGTAAATGGGGGGTAAAGTGAAAAAGACTAAAAATGTGCAAGTTGATGTTTGGCATTAGCAGCCATAGTTAATTCTAAAGATAGGTACAGTACAGACTACAGAGACTGAGAGAAAATCTGCAACCAGATAAAAAAATGTTAACCCAAAAAGCTATGGCTTCTTCTCCTCTGTAAGCTTTACGTTAGGTTTAATCACTGGCAAAATCCTCTTCAAGTGACTCTATTCTTTTGGTTTAATTATGATTTTCTTTCATGTTTTTTCAGACACCCAGTTGTTTCATTTGATTGCCACTCTCAATTCTCCTATCAGTCACTGTTTCCACACAATTTCAATTACGGGTTCTCCAAAGGTATGTTAGGTTCACAATCTGTTGTTTTTAATGGTGATTAGTTTGTGTTTTTCTGTCTTGGGTTTTGTGACATTCAGCTTTTACTTTTTCTTTGGCAGCCAGCAGAAATTTTAAAGCTTCACGACTCAAGGCTAACTTTTGGGACTCTATCAGATCTGGGTAAGGGAAGATTTATATTGTTTTCCACTGTACACGCCAAACTCATACACATGTGGTTGAAGATACATATATGCTTTTCTGATTGATTCATTTACCTGGTTGTTTAAATTAATGTGCGCTGTTTAGTCCATTTCTGTGAGGTTGAATTTATGTTAGTGGAACATTAACCGTTTAGTGAACATATGGTCTTTTTGTGCTTGTGTATTGTCAACTTTAATCAGCTTCCTGTCTCTTAATTGGCCGAGTTTGTAGTGTCATGAATTTCTATATAGGGAAGGTTTATTGAGCTGGTGGTAACGAATTTTGCTGTTTTAGATTGGTTTATGTACTAGAGCCCTTTTAGTTCTTTCAGAAAAAAAACTTATACCTAATTTCTATAACTATACACCTTATACTTTACTCTCAAACTAACACAACTCTTCTCACATGAAGAAGAAACCTATTGTCTGTCATCTTATCATCAACTTTGCCAGTTTCATTACTTGTATTCTTATTCTGAGGGGCTTCACTTTTACATCTCCTGGCAGTTTCTTGAAAAACAACACAACACAAGTCATGGATCCACCCTCCACACTTGAAGAAGAGGAAGAGCCAATGCCTGAGGAGTTTGTTCTTATTGAAAAGACTCAACAAGATGGAGAAATTGAGCAAATTATATTCTCATCGGGTGGAGATGTTGATGTTTATGATCTTCAAGCCCTATGTGATAAGGTAACTATGGGCTGTCAGTATCTTTGTTTGTGCACACATAAGTAAGAGCTGCAAGTCAAAGAACTCGACTTCATACTTATATATGCATCATGTTGTCACTATGCATGGGGTTTTGTGATTGTATTATGCTCTACTTCTGAAAATCAACTATTTAACAGGTAGGCTGGCCTCGGAGGCCGCTGTCAAAACTAGCTGCAGCTTTGAAAAATAGCTATATGGTTGCCACACTGCATTCTGTTAGGAAATCACCAGGATCAGGTACTTAGTGAGAATTGAAGTGCTTTAGTATTCTCATATTCGCTTGTAACGGTATGTTAAGCTATATGCAAACTTGTTTCTACCTCTAAAATTATTTGATGAACATTTTAGTGTACTTAGGAGAAGTTATTTGACAGAGGGGAATGACCAAAAGAAGTTAATTGGCTTGGCTCGTGCAACATCAGATCATGCCTTCAATGCCACAATTTGGGATGTTCTTGTTGATCCCAGCTATCAGGTATAATTTGTGTTACATGAGCATGGACAAACATTCCTGGATTCACATGCAGGCATGAGTGGCAAAGATACTATTGTGGATATAAAGGTCATTGTGTTGGAAAAAAATTGTAATAACACAAAACATATTGAAGCATGATAAGTGAAATAGTGCATATGGTAGTTATGACAAGTGGGAGAAACTGAAGCTCGCCAATCGCTATATACCCACTATTGACATGATTTTGTCCTTAGGTGATATAAAACAGGTCTTTGGGCCAGGTTGGGTAAGAAGGACCTGGTAGTAACTCAACACAAAACTGGACTTTGTCACAAACTAGTTCAAGTACAATGGCTCTTGTCACACCTACAAAACATTGTGTGAAATGTTCTAATTCAGTCATGGTTTGAGATTTCAAAATTTTTGTTAGATTCTCCGAGTAAAATTGTGGGCATTATGGGAGCTGAAACCATTGGTGTTGTAAACATTAATATTGTTTGATGTATTGCAAACTGCAATAAATTTATTTTGACTATTTTCTTTCCATACAGGGCCAGGGTCTTGGTAAGGCCCTTGTTGAAAAGATTGTAAGAGCTCTTCTACAAAGGGATATTGGGAATATATCTCTCTTCGCAGATAGTCAAGGTATAACTCTAAACAGTAGTAGTTCAAGTTCATTACCACAGAATCCTGTTCTAATTGCCAAAGTTGGTCCATTCGTATGCTAATTTTAGCATGCATGTTATAAATCTGAGAATCATCTCTATCCTTGAGTATATAGGGGTGAGAACCCATTTGCCCATCAACTTACAAGCTTCTGCTTTACCTCAGTATATTTCTACCGTGTCAAACCTTATAAATAGTGCCCTTTTATTTAGTCCTTCCCTTATTTCTTTTGCAACTATTTTACAAATTGTACCTTATCAATTGCAAAGTTACCTTAAGCAGTTTAAAATTTGTTTTGTACATTGACATTGCAGTTGTGGAGTTCTATCGAAATTTAGGTTTTGAACCTGATCCAGAGGGCATTAAAGGAATGTTTTGGTACCCAAGATAACTATTCGTTAAATGAATTACATTGGTTCAGCTGGCAGGTTTGTTTGGGACGATGGGAGAAAATTCTGTTTGTACAATACATTGTAATTATTTTATTATTATTTTCTGAGTAAGAGTAATTTAAACATTTCATGTCTTAGGCTTACAGAATAATCCAATGTGAGCCTTTAACCATGCTTCTCAAGTGAATTTCTTTACCTTGAGAGTCAAGGGGCAGTTCATTCGACTACCAGTTTGAATTCGTTGTGACATAAGTTGTATATTTTTTATATCCTTGTTGGAGAAAGTCCTTTTCCTGTGGAACTAGTTGTAGTACAGCACGGATAAATTACTATTTAATTAGAAGGGATGTTTATTGAATAATTTCCACTTTATGTACTTTGTAGGCTTACATTTCTGCCCAATAAGATAATATTTAGGTTTTGCAATGTCTAATTGCATTATTTTAAGTTTGATTTTAGAATAAACTGATAGATTATACTATTGTTTGATGAATGTTGTACCTGGTCTTCGTGGTCGGTTTGACATCTGCACCTATTATGAATGCTGATATCCAGGAAATTGTGGTTAGCTTCTAAATCTTGGAAAAGCTGCTGACTTGACTAAATTTTTTTGACGAGGCTGCTCTAAGAATTTAGATTTAGCTTCTTTTTTTAACTTTCTTGTGTTTTCCTCAATTGGGTATGCTTGTATGCACTTGAAGGAACTTCCATGGTCTAAAAGTCTGTATTACCTTCTCATAAGAAACTTAGTATATTTCTTTTCTGCAGCATCCAGTGGAAGTTATTTAATGCACCTTGCTGTTGAATTGTTTATAGTATGAGATCGACCTAATTCTTTCTAAAATGGAATTCTAATTGTTGTGTACATAATTGCATTTAGGAATTGCTCATTCAACTAATTGTTTGTGTTAATGGATAAACTTGATTATATTTAATACCATGGACTTCATTATATTAAATATTTATATGATCTTTCACTCTCAAAAGGGTTATCTTCTTTCAGTCTTTGAATTTTGTTTCATCCTTGTCCTCATCATCACTCAGAGCTCCTTACGCCACCTGAACCATGAAAGTCAGCTTAAAGAAAAAAAAAATCCTTATGTACGGATGCCCTGATAGGGGACGTGTGTATGCAACATGTGCATTCATATTCCCTCATCAGATCATACACCAGATGTATGTTCATCCGGTATACAGGAGAGAATTTTCTATAACCCTCAGCACAAGCTAAATCCGTACCTTGGATTGAATATCATCTTCCCTTTTTGCCAGCTTCAGCTTGGCTATAGAAAGGAAAATTATCTCTCTGGTGTCTCAGTGTTGTTCTGTCATCTCAGGTCATTCTCAATGGTGTATGATGTTCCATGCGAGGAGAGAGTTGTCTGTATTTGATTTGATTTATTTCATTTGGCTTATTCATGGCAATGGAAGCATAAAACCCTTCTTGCAAATAGTAACCAACATTCAAAAAAGAATTTAATTCTTATTCTATGTATACTTTTTCAAGCCTGCTGTTAATTGTTAAACTGAATTATAGACTTATTCGCTGATGACGTATTATATTCATGCCTTATAAACTGAATCGTAGACTTATTCACTAATGATGTATTGTATGTGACCTACTCGATGTTCATTTTGATTACCGAAACGTCGAAAATTTTCCTTTTGTTTGATAGGCTCCTGGGCTGTTGAAAGCTGCAGCAGAGTCTGTAACTCAGATAAGATTTTGCCAGAGATGATCAAGTTGGAATTTAGTATCTGGTTTTGTAAAGACTTCCTATACAAAATTGCAGTGGCAATACTTTGAAAGAGATGTTTCCACTGAATTATTTGAAGCTTTAAATCAACTATATTTTAAAATGCACTATGAAATAGTATAACTAAAACTGTAATTTTCTCCAGCAGTCTCTCTTTATGTACAGTTTATAATAATTATAGGGCTTTTCAAAATCCTGTAAGGAAGTTGGAATATGGCGCCTTCCTCAGTTATTTGAAAGACAAAGTCGTCCCCGACCTAGTTCTTCAAGTCTTAATCTACATTAATCCAAAATAATCCCAACTTGGAAAGTGCCAGCTTACCGAATCCATTTACTTTGTTTAGCTAAAATTATAATTTCCTGACCCAATCTTCTTCCATTCTGAGCTCACCCATATATTCCATGCATAAAAATGGCTTTCATCCTCTTTTTACGTCAACCTTCATGCTTTTTCTACAAAGGTATGGTTTGTCTTGCTTTTCAACTAGCCATTTTTGCGTAACCCAAGTTTTAGTTTTAACCATTCTCTTAATTTTCGAAGTAGTTTAACTGAAAGTTTCAAATTTCTTGTTGCATAGATGCCAAGGTGGAGATTTTGCCTAATTGGGATCATACTTGGTCTACTTTCATGTCACTTTCTGCAACTTGCTTCTGCACAGATGACTGATCCATTCGAAGGTTGGTTTCTCTGTGATTTTTATTAAGGGATGAGTTATTCTTTTTATTAGATTTCTTAATTTCTTTGAAAAAATATTAGAATGTCCTGAACTATGCATACAGTTGATGCTTTGCTAGCTGTCCGCCGAGCACTCAAGATACGGGGAAAAATCTCAATAACTGGAAAAAACTGATCCATGTGTATCATTGGACCGGGGTAATCTGCTTGATGGATCCAAATGATGGCTTCTCCATTCCAAGAACTGTAAGTCGATATATATGACAATTTATGCATACAGTTGATTGCACGTTTATAAATTGAACACATGATGGATTATTTGGACTATACATTTTCTGGTTTTTTTTTTTTTTTTTCTTGGCTTATCTCGCATACAGGCGGTTGCTAAACATGAATCTTCTGGGAAACTAGCTCCGGCACTTGGTTTGTTTTCTCAAATGACCATATTGTGATTCATCTCATTCTGTGCGTCTCTGATGATATCTTGTTCTGCCATGAATCTTCATCCATTTGTTAATCATCAACTGTAATTTATCTTGCTTTTTAACTTCGTTTGTCCAGGAATTTTATGTGGAACAATTTAACTGGCAGCATACCCAAGGAATAGGCAATCTGATTACTTTAAAGCTTCTGTAAGCATCAAATATAAGCTTTTAAGTCGAGTGATAACTTGACAGTTGGATGCCGAGCTATCACTTAAATTTTATATTTTTTACTCCATGAAAATTTCGCACTTATATAGAAGTGTATTCTTCATTGCATGCAGGCTTCTGAGCGGAAATCAAATATCAGGGCCTTTACCAGATGAGCTTGTTTCTCTTTCTAATGTACAATATTAAACCTGGACAATAACATATTTCTGGACCCTGCCAAAAACTTTTGCAAATATGACCAGTGCCAGACACTTGTAAGTGCCTTCTCATTAGCCAAATGCTTCACAAAAACTTATTCAGTATGTTTTTAATTGCAGTCATTTGAACAACAACTCAATCAGTGGTCAGATTCCACCAGAGCTTTCCACATTACCTCAACTCTTACACTTGTGATTCATTACATTTTATTTGATGTTGCTTTATTTTACACAAGAGTATATTTCTGTTGTTGCAGTGACATAATATTTTGAAATTTATTTGCAGCCTGTTGGACAATAACAATTTATCAGGGTTCTTCCGCATTTTCCAGGATGCCAAACCTGAGGATTTTGTAAGTTCACCGTTCCTTCAAGTTCTCTTTGTAATGACTATCAGACTCCAGTATCTCAAACCTTTTGGTCTCTGGCTAATAACCCCTTTTCTCTTATTGTTGCAGACAATTTGATACAACAACTTTGAAGGTACCGAGATCCAAATTCTTATAAAAACATGCCCAAACTGGTGAAGCTGTAATCTCTCTCCCTTCCCATGGATTTTTCTTTTATTTTTTATTTATCCACTGCCAAGTGCTAAATATACATATGAAGGCAATAGGTACACAAAAACTGAAGGATCAATAACATTGTGCTTATTTCTTTCCTTTCAACTCACAGGAGTCTTAGGAACTGCAGATTGCAAGGAACTATTCCTGTTTAAGCAGTGTACCAAACCTTCTTTACTTGTAAGTCTGCAGGATTTGTTGATATTTTCTTTGCAATAAGATGGTTATATCTTTTAGTCGAACAAAGCTGTCAAAATTATAATTTATCTCCACAATATTTGTCATTCACATTTATATGACATCATCTGTGCACAATTCCAAGTATTGATTTGAAAAATTGCTGAATTTACATAACCAGCTCTTAGAGATTAACTAAGACTTTCTTAAGAGTTGGATTCATGTTATCTGACCTCGATTACTTTTCATGTTACAAGATCTTAGCTCGAATCAACTTACCGGAAGCATACCAACAAATAAGCTTGCCAACAATATACAACTATGTTGCCATTGTCAATGCTCCAGTTCCTTACACATGCTACATTTTTTCATATATACATTGATATGATAAAAGTAACTTGTTTTGTTTTCAATGTTGCAGTGATCTATCCAATAATATGCTTATTGGACCTATCCCCTCAAATTTTTCAGGCTTTACTTTTCTCCAGAGACTGTAAGAGGCTCTCCTCATTTTATTCTCACTTTTTTTTTTTTTTAATTGAAAATCTTAAGAATTCTATAATTAGAAAGCTATATACGGTTAGAAATTTATCTTCCATATGAAAATTAAGAATGACAGTTTATATCTTCCATATGAAATAATTATAAGCTAGTTTGAAATTTATTGCAGGTCACTTGAAAACAATAATTTGAGTGGTAGTGTTCCCTCAAACATTTGGCAGAATGTTATTTTCGTGCAATGCGACACTTACCTTGAAGACAAGAACAGTTATATGGTTTTTATTTGCTCAGTTTTGAGATTAATCAATCGAACAGTGGTCGAACATCAATATTCCAATTCTAGTTACCTGAATTCTCATAAGTACTTCTTTGTTTCTATGTTTTTTCTTGCAGGGATTTCCAGAATATTCGCTTACAAATGTTTCGGGTAATAGATCCCCTTCAAATGTCACCATTAGGTGAGTATTTGTAGTCTTTGCAATAGAAATCCATGTAAGAAGTTTATTGCACTTATCAGTTGCAATTTTTTGGACTGCTTAGGCTTCAGGGCAATCCTATTTGTACAAATGCAAACGAATTCAATATATCAATTCTGTGACCCATATCGGAGATGATAGGTTTCTGGAACCTCAAATAACACTTCTACCTACCTGCCTCCACAGTCCTGTCCGCACAGTTTGCATATGGAATATGTCCCAGAATCACCTGCTTCCTGCTTCTGTGCTCTGCCTCTCGAGTTGATGTACGTTTGAGAAGTCCTAGCATATCTGATTTTCGCCCATACATGAATGCATATATGCTTTACGTGACCTCCAGTCTTGGCTTGAATCGTTA